GAGCGTAACGGCCGATGCTATGCCGATCCGAAGCCAGGAGCCTCTTCCGGGTCTCCCACGCGGGTGCAGGGTCCCAAAGCCTTGGGCTGTCCTCGACTGCTTTCCCAGGCCACAGGCAGGGAGCTGGAAGGGAAGCGGGGGCTGCCGGGATAGAACCGGCGCCCATATGGGATCCCCGGGCGTGCAAGGTGAGGACCTTAACCACTTGCGCCACCGCGCCGGGCCCCATCTAGTGCGTTGTTATTGCTGGGTACATGCTTGCCCTTCAGTGGCTATGGCTGTGTCCCCACATCACCTTGTTTGCTCTGAGAGGCTGCTGGCTTCAATGTCCAAGAGAGGACATACTCCATCCATCCTCACTCAGGCTCGTCTTTGCTCCCTGTATATAAATTCTATTCAGACAGAATTCTATATAGAATGTCTATACAAGTCTATAGAGAATGTAAAATAAATGTGCATATATATGTATCATATACATACTTTATTTCTGTAAGTTCTCCCTGACAACAAGAACAACCGCAGACTTGGATGGTAGCTATAGAACTTGGCCTGAAGAACTGTGAACTTGTTTTTCTTTCCATCCTTTGAGGAGGTGCCTGAGGTCTTTGGTTGGCTCTGAAGAGCAGGGATTTTTATCTTTCATGCGCACCTGGGAATGTTCTTCATCTTGAAATAAGAGTCATTGTGAAGGTGGCCTAACTTTGTAACTTGTTCTCTGAGACCTGTCCACATGTCAATAGGCTCTGGTCCCCAGGATCAGGGATTCTATCAAATCAGGGTAATATGAGATTCATGAAGCCCGCCGCCAACTGGTCCCCCTCTTAGTCCTGCCCCAGTCCCATCTCTCCCATGTAGCAGTGGGTGTAGCAGCCAGACCTGGACCTGGTTCTCACTTATGCCAGTGGGTGTAGCAATGTGGCACGGGAAGATTTCCTGGGACACCCTACCCAGCCTGCAGCCAGGAATCCTTGACCCAGCTGCTGTGGGATGGAACTTGGGACTTCTTATCAAGGGGAGTTCACCACCCACAGGTCTTTATCTACTCAGTTATGACTCAGGTCTGTTCACAAGAATAGCTGGTTGACTTTAACCAGGACTAAGACAGTTGCAGAAGCAGGCGTTTGTCCTGTTAAGAGGCACACACTGGAGTTGGTGGGTTCAACTCCTTGTCCTATCTGACAATCCAGATACTGGGAGGCAGTGGTGATGGCTCAGGTAGCTGGCTTATTCAAACTGTTTTTGGGAGACTGGGATTTCATTCCAATTTTCAGCTTCTATCCCTGCTCAGCTTCAGCTTTTACAGACATTTGGGAGGTTGTAAACTCTCTCCTTGCCTCTGTCTCTCAAATAAATAAAAAGCAGGATTGGTTCATTTTCTTTAGAGCAGGGTGATTGGAATGGTTGGATCTTTCAGTATCACCTGTGAGGAAGGGAGGGACTGGCAGTTGAGTCAATCATTAATGGTAAATGATTTATTGAGCTTTTCTTTTTCCATGAGCAAGGCAAGATTTATTTAAACCAGAAGCCTCTTATTGCAGCACTCAGGAGGGAGGCTCCAAGAGAGGAACACCAGAAAATCTAAGTGGGGTCTTTTAGGTATAACTTTTTGGGAAAGAAAAATAGAACAGCCCCTGAAGTCAGTCACGGGTGATGACAGACCTCATCAAAGGGCTGCAATTGTAATCCTGCCTAGCTTGTTCAAAACAAAAAGCCAATAATGGTAACTTCTTCCCATGGATTACAACAACATGAAAACACACAGAGTGGCACCACTGCTTCCTGCTGCTCTCCCGAGAAAAACAGAAACTCGGCAGTGAAATGGCATTTCTACCGTCCAAGGGGGACACCCTCCTTTCCCACCAATGCCCGTCAGTTTGTCTACCTCCTCCCAGTCCCCGCCCTGAGAAGAAGGAATCGTAGCTGCAGTTAGGGAGATGTGGACGATGACTGCTCTGGCTGCTTCGTGGGCAGAAGGGACTACTGAGCAAGCCATTCTTCCAAGGGTTGATGATCTAAGCATGCTTGGCGGAATGTGGATTTTCTCAGGAGCCTTGTCTGAGCCGCCACCTGGAGCTGGATGGTTCCTAGGTACTTAGTGCTGGATTGCACAAAGCACAAGGCAGCTACTATCTCTCTTACTCAATAGTCTCTCTCTCTCTTAAGATTTATTTGTTTTTACTGGAAAGGCAGATTTATACAAAGCAGAGACAGAGACAAAGTTCTTCCATCTGCTGGTTCACTCACCAAGTGGCTGCAGTGGTCGGAGCTCAGCTGACATGAAGCCAGGGGCCAGGAGCTTCTTCTGAGTCTCTCACATTGAGTGCAAGGTCCCAAGGCTTTGGGCCATCCTTCGCTGCTCTCCCAGGCCACAAGCAGGGAGCTGGATGGGAAGTGGAGCAGCTGGGATACGAACTGGCACAATATCGGATCCTGGTGCTTCAAAGCAAAAACAAAAACAAAAATATTCAATTTAGCCAATGTGCCAGGCTTGGTTCTCATCCTTTGAGAGTTTTAGGAACCTAGCAGGAAGCCTGAATGTCGAAGACTCAGTTTTAGAGCTTTTGATGTAAAAGAATTGTCAGAGGTTTAAATCATTTGGCCAATGTAAATTAAACCTGAGCAAAATGATGAACTCAGTCTAATCAGTTGTAAAGTTGACTCCTTTAAAACTGAAACTTTTAGAGCCTGGTGCAATGGCTCAACTGGCTAATCGTCCATCTCCAAGCACAGCATCCCAGTATGGGCACCAGTTCATGTTCTTTGGGCCGTTCTCAATTGCTTTCCCAGGCCACAAGCAGGGAGTTGGATGGGAAGTGGGGCTGCTGGGATTAGAACAGGCACCGATATTGGATTCTGGAACATGCAAGACAAGGACTTCAGCTGCTAGGCTGGCCCACCAATTAAAAAAAATATATATATATATATATATATAATTATTATTATTTAAACTTCTAACAAGTCTATTTAAAGGAGTTAGTGCATGATAACATTTTTAAATTATTTATTTATTTGAAAGGCAGAGTTACAGAGGGAGAGGTACAGAGATCCCACCTCTGCTGGTTCACTCTCCACGTGGCCCCAAGGCCAAGGAAGGGCCAGGAAGAACCTAAGAACTGCGTGCAGGTCTCTCCCGTGGGCTCAGGGACCACGACGTTGGCCATCTTCTGCTGCTCTCCCAGGTGCAGCAGCAGATAGCTGGATCAGAAGTGGAGCAGGGCCTGGCAGCGTGGTCTAGCAGCTAAAGTGCTCACCTTGAACACACCGGGATCCCATAAGGGCGCCGGTTCTGGTCCTGGCAGCTCCACTTCCCATCCAGCTTCCTGCTTGTGGCCTGGGAAAGCAGTCAAGGACGGCCCAAAGCTTTGGGACCCTGCCCCTGTGTGGGATACTCAGAAGTTTCTGGCTCCTGGCTTCAGATCGGCATAGCACTGGCCGCTGCGCTCACTTGGGGAGTGAATCATCAGATGGAAGATCTTCCTCTCTGTCTCTCCTCCTCTCTGTATATCTGCCTTTCCAATAAATAAATAAATCTTAAAAAAAAAAAAAGTGAAGCAGCCAGAACTTGAACCAGTGCCCACACGGGAGGCCACGTTAATCCGCTGCCCACACTTTGTGTAGTCAGGATGGAGAACAGTGTTTACTCAGCCCTGGCACGGTGATAAAACAGCGTTCCTCACCCATAATCAAGGTCGGCGAAGGGGTTAGTACAAGAGAATTATTGCTTATTTTGTGGCCTGAAGTTTAGCCTGCTCCTTTTGCCAACTCACTTCTCACTGGCACCTGGCGTACCATTGCCGGCCGCGGATCACAGGGAGATGGGAACAAGGGCACGGATTTTAGTGTTTTTCTGACAGCTGTGGAGCTCTGAGGTGTGGTGTGATGATTGCACAAAGCGGGTGGACACCACAGTGGCCTCAGCCAGAGGTCAAGGCCACGGACAGGCCAGTGATGGACTCGGGTCAACATCTCTTACCTTATTAGGGCTCAAGCAGAGCCTGTACCAGCACCCACGTCAGAAGGGGCATAAACCCCCACTAATTTCTTTTTCCTGCCTGCCCTTTCTGCTCCTCTGCCGCAGGAGGAAAGGCCCAGGAACCGACTTCCCTATGTTTGAGAAAGGCTTGTTTGCACTGGTGCCTGCTGGCATTTTCTTTCCCAGCTGGCCGGTAAAACCAACACGGGATAAGTTAAATTCTTTCTTTACTTGGTCATCTCTTGTAGACGCTGTCAATCACTCGGATCTTACCTAACTTCTTGAAACAGGTTTATGATTTCTGCTTTTTAATTCGCAGCCTGAATCTTGAAGACCTTGTGCGTTAATGGATGCAAAAGGGAACATGCTAGCAGTGCAAAAGAAAGTCTGTGGAAATATCACTCCCACGTTCTCAAGCGTGCCATGCGCCCTTCACTGGCCTGTCCTCACTTGGCGAGAGGGTGGCAGGGCAGGCAGCAGGCGTCCAAAGCTGCAGCTGAGCCCCCGGGGCAGCGGGGCCCTGGGCAGCGCGGGGCCATCAGCGCTGCTGCCCGCAGTGTCCGGGACAGGAGTCCGCGTGGGCGCCGATCGCCGCCCCTGCTCGGCCACCCCAAACCCACGGGCATTTCCCAGGGACGGCCCCTTAGCTCTCCTGGCTCTCGGGAGCGCTCCTTCCTCCGCCCTCCGGCCCAGGGCCGAGCCTCCGTGTCCCGGGGGCTGCAGCACTCGGCGCGTCTGGGCCTTTCTTGGGGTCCCCCCGCCGCGGCGGTGCTCCTGCGTGGGCGCTGGGGCGCGCGCCATCCATCCGGGACGCGCGCCATCCATCCGGGACTCCTGCGCCATCCGGGACTCGTGCGCCCTGCCGGAACGTAGGCGCCGCGCGGGTTGCCAGGGGCGACCGGGACGCGCCCGGGCGGAGAGGGGAAGCCGGAAGCCGGCGGAGCACGGGGGCTGGCGGGGAGGCGCGTCCGGCGAGCGTGGGGAGCGGGCCGTGCTCCCCGGGAGCCGCGCGGGCCGGGCGCCTTGGCGGGGACTGACCTGGCTTGGCGCCGCTGGCACGCTTGCCGAACCCCGGGACAGCAAGGGTCGCGTGTCCGCCGTGGGCCTCGCGTGACGGCGTCAGTATCCGAAGGTTAGCTCTGCAGAGTGGAGGTGCTTCTTCTTGGGGTGCGGTGGGGGGAGGAGAACGCCGCAGCGTCGGGGAAACGAGTTGTTGACTTGCAAAATCTCAGAGCCTCACTTCCTGCTCGTAGCGTGAAAAATGATCTGTGTTATCCTTTTAAAATACCCCTCCGTGAACGGTGGCAAATGTCACATGCGTATTGACGAGGTCGGTGCAGGTGAAATAGTAGTTTGTTATGGCAGTTTTGGGGGGGACATTTGTATTTAAGGTTAGCTCTGAAGCTTGAAATCAGCGGGTGGAATGTTTGCCTGATTTGGAGTTGCAGCTGGAATTCCCGTGTGGCTAACAGCATAGGACCGTGTTGTATGTAGCAGGCTGCTTGGTACTGCCAGTTTCTGGAAAATGAAGAGTTTATTTTGGCACAAAAAAACTTGAAATCCCTGCATGCAAGATGAGTGTGTAACCTGCATGTTATGGAAAATTATACACAGGTTAAGACACTTTTTGCACCAAATAGAACAAGTCTGTTAATTCCATTGCTATACGTCTGACAGTGTCCTCGTTTAAGTATTTTCTGATGTGAGGTGGTTCTTGAGCAGCGGTGGTATTTTTCCCTGGCTTCTTGGTTTCTGAAGGGGGTCAGGTGACTTTCCACTGCTTTACCCCATCAGACGTCACTCAGCAGTGCGACACATTCTCTGTTTCCTTGCAGGTCAACACGCTGTGACTGGGTGCAGACACCCAAGTTCAGTGCTTCCTGCCACCTCCTATCCCTGCGTAGCCTTTGTCAAAAGGTGAGGCACCCTGTGATTGTCCTGCAAGCCAGCGCTCCCAAGATTGAATTTGCTTCTTTAAAAGGGAAAATTCAGGATGCTGGCATTGTGGCACAGAGGCAGGTTAGAGGCATGACTTCCTGTGGGTGCCAGTTGGAGTCCCCCCCACTGAGCCAGTTCCCACCCCGTCCGATTCCCTGCTGGCAGCAGAAGGAGGCTGAAGTGCCTTGGTGACCATCTGGGGAGTGAACCAGAGGGTGGAAGAACTCTGCCTCTGTATTCTCTCCATCTCTGCACTTTTGCCTTTCCAATAAATACATTGATCTTTTTTACAGATTTATTTTTACTGGAAAGGCAGATTTGCAGAAAGAGCAGGAGAGACACAGAGAGAAAGATCTTCCATCTGCTGGTTCACTCTCCAGATGGCCACAACAGCCAGGGCTGAGCTGATCTGAAGCCAGGAGCCAGGAGCTGCTTCCGGGTCTCCCACATGGGTGCAGGGTCCCAAGGCTTTGGGCTGTCCTCTGCTGCTGTCCCGGGCTACAAGCAGGGATCGGGACGGGAAGTAGAGCAGCTGGGACACAAACTGGCACCATGTGAAATTCTGACACTGGCGGGCAGAGGATTAACTTGCTGTACTACTGTGCTGGCCCACAGCCTTGGGACCCTGCATGCGCATGGGAGACCCCGAAGCTCCTGCCTTCTGGCTTCGGATTGGCACAGCTCTGGCCACTACAGCTGCTTGGGGAGTGAACCATCGGATGGAAAATCTTCCTTTCTGTCTCTTCTGTTCTCTGTATATCTGACTTCACAATAAAAATTAAAAAAATAAATCTTAAAAAAAGTTCTGATTACAAGCCACTAGACTGATGTCTAAACTCATTACTCTATCCTCCCTAGCTTTTTTTTTTTAAGATGTATATATTTTATTTGAAAAAGAGAGTTACAGAACAAGGGAGAGACAGATCTTCCACCTACTGGTTTACACTCCAAATGGTCAGAATAGCCAGGGATGAACCCAAAATGATAGCCTGGGGGCTAAATTCTCGCCTTGAATGCTCTGGGATCCCATTTGGGTGCCAGTTCTAATCCCGGCAGCCCCGCTTCCCATCTAGCTCCCTGCTGTGGCCTGGGAAAGCAGTTGAGGATGGCCCAAAGCCTTGGGACCCTGCACCTGTGTGGGAGACCTGGAAGAAGCTCCTGGCTCCTGGCTTCGGATCGGCGCAGCACTAGCCGTTTCACTCACTTGGGGAGTGAATCATCGGATGGAAGATCTTCCTCTCTGTCTCTCCTCCTCTCTGTATATCTGACTTTGCAATAAAAGTAAATAAACCTAAAAAAAAAAAAAATAGCCATGGCTAGGTGCTTCTTCTGGGTTTCCTGCATGGGTGTAGAGGCCCAGCCAGTTGGGCCATCTTCCACTGCTTCCCAGGTGACACGTGGCAGGGTTAGAAGCAGAGGTGGGACTTGAACCCAGGTACTCCAGTGTAGGCTGCTGGCATCCCAGGGTAGGCAGCTTAGCTTAGCATATACAAGGCCTGTCCCTCCATGGACATTTAAAAGAATTGTTACTGAATTTTATAAGAAGGAGAAAGAGAGCTAGAGAGGCAGGCTGTCAGCAGTTTTCTTTTGCATGAACATGTTTTGGTTTAAAAACAAAAACTACTTGGGCTGTTGTTATTTCTTAAATTCGATTTGGGAGTTTCATTATTAAGTGATAACCCAGCAGGAAGAATGTATAGTCTCTCTCCACAACACAAGGGTGCTGCTGCTTTTAAATTTAATGTCTGTTTATTTATTTGTAAGATCGAATATGATATTTTCCATTTATTGGTTTGTTCTCTAACAGCCGGGTGTGCTCTGGACCAAGGCTAAGATCCAGGAATTCCATTCAGGTCTCAGGGACACAAGCACCTGGACCGCTTCTTTCTCCCAGTAGCAGCTAGCAGGAAACTGAGTTGGAAGTGGCACAGCTGGACCGTGAGCTGGACTCTGATATGGGATGGGCAAGTGGTGTTAATACCTGCTGTGCTGTAATCAAGGCCCCCATAGGAGGCTACTTCTAGAAGTTTAAGAAAGAGAAAGAAAACAAGTCTACAGAAAGCGTTGAAAATCCATTTAGGATATCTAGATGGTCATGTCCTTCCTGCTTCCAGAAAACCTACCGGGAGACCTGGATTGTTTCCAGCTCCAAGGAGGCCTTGGCTAGACCCAGCCATGTCAGTAGGGCCCTGTGGGAAATGAGCCAGCAGCTGGGGAGTGCCTTCTCTTTCTGTCTCTCTGCCTCTATGTTAAATAGATTTTTAAAAAGCCCGGCTTTTACAAGGATTCACATTGTTTCCATCAACCCTCATCACTGCATCGGGTCCTGTGGGTGTTGTGAAGTTCGCAGTTGTGGGACCCCACCCAGAATCACAGAGCAGGCTGCAGTGTGGATTCCTGGCAGCGCTGTGTAGCTGCCGTCACTGCTGCTGGGTGTCCAGTGTCCAGGATAGAAGACTTGAGAACAGGTGGCAGACTCCCTCTGGAGCGCCTGTGATTTTTGTCTTTCCTGACAGGAAGCCGGGGCTCCCCCACAGCTCTGCCGGGGCTCCCCTACAGAGCTCTACCTGGTCTGGGGTTGTCTTCCCAGATCCCAGTCACTGCTGCCAGCAAGTTTAACAGATAGTAAGGCAGGTCTGTCCCTGAGTCTGGTGTTAGACTTGGCTCTGGAAGTGAGCACAGCTCAGCACACCTCCCGATGGGCATACTGCGAAGTGACACCTTGCTGCCTGACGCAGTGTTGCCCGTCAGCTCCACAGATCATTCTGTGTTCTTTCGGGAAGAAACTGGAGCATAGTTTGGCTGTAACAGCAGGATGGCTCTGACAGTACTTAGTAAATCTCAGTGTTCCTACTCCAGGTTCTTTGGCTCACTTGCAGAGAGCAGTGAGCGAGAGGCCAGGGTCCCAGCGACGTTGCTTTTCCTGGGGTCTCAGACGTGACCACGTGGAGACAGCACCGTGAACTCCCCGAGAGGAGCCGCACAGGTGTTTTTTGTGGGGTCGGCACATGGCACTTCCGGTTGGCTCTGCCCAGGCCCGGCTCTACCCCATACGCCCCAGCGCAGCCCAGAGGACGTCTTGTTGCTAGCTGGCCTTCAGTTGCTGAGGCAGCATCAGCAGGCCGTCGGTCAGGGGGGAGCTCTGCTTGCCTGGAGTGTAAACAGGGGGCTTTCCCAGGAGCCCCCCTCACCTCCCGGGCTGTACCCGCAGAGGCGGAAGTGGCCTCCATTCTTCATTTCCTGCCTGCCTGCCCTCGGCAGTAGCCGCACCCATCCTGCTCTCGGCGGTAGCCGCACCCATCCTGCCCTGCGGAGAAGTGCCGCGATGGGTTATCTGTTGCAGGACACTTGTCCTTCTGGTATTTGGTCCTGGGAAAGTGGGAACCCTCAGAGAACCCACGTTTGCATGCCCAGGGAGTGCTAAGCCCAACCCCCAGCCGGTCCTGCACCTTTCAGGAAAGACAAGGTGTCAGGAGTCCTCGGGGTATGCGTTCTGTCGTTCAGAATATTTGTTTGAAAAGCACAGTTACAGAGACCTTCCATCTGCTGGGCTACACCCCAAATGTCCTCAACAGCTGGGGCTGGGTCAGGTTGATTCCAGGTACCGTGATCTGCGTCGGAATCTCCCACGTGGGTGGCAGGTCACGTGCCTGGGTCATCATTTGCTGCTTCCCAGGAGTTAGCAGGGAGCTGATCAGAGCAGAATAGTGAGGACTAGAACTGGCTTTCTGACATGGGAAGCAGGTGTCCCACGTGGCGGCTTAACACGCTGTACCACTGCCCCCCGTTCTATTTCAGTTTCTACGTAGATCGGTCCGTACCCTTAGCTACTGACGTGCTCGGGTACTAACGTAGTTGAACATTCAGTGTGCTTAGGACAGTGACTGGGATGCCCACCTCCTGTGTCAGGGTGCCTGGGCACAGGACTCAGCTCCACTCCTGACACCGGCTTCTCGGGGCACAGCAGCGTTGGCTCTAGCACTTGGGCCATCCACGGGAGAGACCCACGTGGAATTCCTGGCTCCTGACTTTGACCCCCGCTGTTCAGGCATTTGGGGAGTGAACTAGCTGATGTAAGATTTCTCTCTGCCTATCTCCCTCCCTCTGTCACTTAGCCCTTGAAATAAATGAAATTGCGTTTCAAATAAATAAAATGAATATATTGAAAAGTTGGGATCAGCACAATGACATGTTAGGTTAAGCCTCTGCCTGCAGTGCCGACATTCCATATGGTCAGTGGTTCAAGTCCTGGCTGTTCCACGTACGATCCAGCTCCCTGCTTGTGGCCTGAGAGGGCAGTGGAGGTGGCGCAGGTGCTTGGGTCTGTGTACCCATGTGGGAGACAGGCTCCTGGCTCCTGGCTCTGGACTGGACTAGCTCCGGCCATTGCGGCTGTTTGGGAATTAACCAGCAGATGGAAAAATCTCTCTTTCTTTAACACTGGCTTTCAAATAAAAGTAAATATTCTAAATAAATAAATAAATAAATAAATAAATAAATAAAAGCTTGGTGAGCAAGAAGCTGGTTATCAGCAGGCAGACTCCCTGCTTCACAGCATCCCGGGTCCACCTTGCTGGGGCCAGGCCTGGCTTGGACCACTCTCCTGTCCACTTCTTGTCAGAGCCACTTCCGCTCTCAAAGGTGTCCCCACGGTTCCGGTGATTGTGGGATGGTGGCCTGATCTTACAGAAGCGAGGTACGATGAAGAAAATCTCAGTAAAGAAACTGGAACCGGTGCTGTGGCATAGTGGGGAAAGCTGCCTCCTGCAGTGCAGGCTTGAGATCGGACTGCTCTGCTCCCGGTCCAGCTCTCTGCAGATGTCCCTGGGAGAGTGGTGGAGATGGCCCACATGTGAGGTGCAGTCTCAGTGGAGTCAGGTGGCATCTCGGTGTGGTTTTTATTTGTATTTTCCTGATAGCCGGTGGAGCCTGAGCATCTTTCTATACGTTTGTTAGCCTTTTGAATGTGTCCTTTTGAAAAATGTCAGTTTATCTCCTTCAGCCGTTTGCACACAGGGTTGTTTGTTTTGCTGTCACTGAGTTTCTGAAGCTCTTTGTAAATCCGGGATGTTATTTCCTGCTGGTTTCGTAGAGTGCAAAGATGTTGTCCCATTCTGTTGGTTGCTTCTTCACTTTGTTGCTTGTTTGCGTTGCTGCATCGAAGCGTCTGCGTTTGATGGAGCCCCGTTTGTTGTTCCTGGGGTAAGGTTTTCATATTGGCGTCAGGTGGCTCTGTCAGCTCGTGACCTGAATGCCGTGTGAAATGAATTCCTTCAGTCTTCAGTGCACGCTGTCTGTGAGGGTTTATGTTTATTTGGGGGGGGGAGGGACTTGGGGGAGGGGGGGAGGAGAAAGGCAAGGGAAGGAAGAAGAAAAAAAGTTGTGAAGACACCCAGGACCACGGATCTTTATGGTCTTACGAATCTCTTGATTTTTAAGTAAAGTGAGATACACATTTGAATTGCTTGATGTCGTATTTTTTAAAAAAAATCCTAACATTTCAGTTTTTTCATTTAGAATTCTTTTTTAAAGATGTATTTATTTTTATTACAAAGTCAGATATACAGAGAGGAGGAGAGACAGAGAGGAAGATCTTCCATCCGATGATTCACTCCCCAAGTGAGTGAAATGGCTGGTGCTGCGCCGATCCGAAGCCAGGAGCCAGGAGCTTCTTCCAGGTCTCCCACGCGGGTGCAGGATCCCAAAGCTTTGGGCCATCCTCAACTGCTTTCCCAGGCCACAAGCAGGGAGCTGGATGGGAAGTGGAGCTGCCGGGATTAGAACCGGCTCCCATATGGGATCCCGGCATGTTCAAAGCGAGGACTTTAGCCGCTAGGCCATGCTGCCAGGCCCTTGATGTCTTATTTGAAAGGCAGAGCGACGGGACTAGGGGCATCCCATCCGCTGGTTCATTCCCCACCTGCCTGCAACATTTGGGCCCAACCCATCTGAGGTCAGGAGTCTGAAGCTCCATCTTAGTGTCCCATGTGGGTAACAACAAGGTCCCAAACGCTTCCCGAGAGCACATTAGCAGGAGGCTGGAATTGAAAGCAGAGGTAAGACTTGAATCCAGGCACTGTGAAACGGGGGCAGGTGTCCCAAGCAGCACCGTGCCCGCTGTGCCCCATACCCGCCCCAGCCTGTGCATATTTGAAGTCGTACAGAGAATGGCGGTCCATCCTCCCGGGAGTCTAGGGCCTTACCTACTGTTTGTCACATTTCCCCCTGCTATTCTCCCAGCCAAACACACACCCTTCCTTCTGCGATGATTTGTAGAATGTCAGAGAGTGGGTCGTTTCTGTGCGGTCATTCCCTAGTGCCCAGACTTCTGCGGGGCGAGCTAATTCCCCGATTGGCCATTTGGGGCATCGTCCTTGCCAAGGCACCAGAGGGCCTTCCGTGGAATGCAGGCGGGAGTCTGTAACTCTTCAGTTCTTCCTAGCGGGAGGCAGCGACAGCAGAATTCTCGAGAAACACAACCCAGTTCGTTGCCTTTTCCCCCCGTAGACGCAGCCAAGACCCGGAGACTATGCCTGCCCTCGGTGTGTCCCAGCTTTCCGTGTTGAGTTCCTCGTGGACCTGACCATTGGTGGCTGACATCCCCCCCAGGAAGGGCAGCGTGGCCATGATCAGATGGGCACTCCAAAGGCTCACTTTCCATCTGCTCCGGAGGAGAAGGTCATTGCCGCTCAAACTCGCAGCCATTGTCTTCGCAGGGCTCTTCTTCTGTGAGTTTCTGATCTATTACCTAGCGATCTGCCGGTGTCACTGGCCTGAGATGAAAACACCTGCCCGTGGCCGTGGGAGAGATCCTGTGCTGAGGGCCATGTTTCTGGCTGACACCCACTTGCTCGGGGAAGTGACTGGCCATTGGCTGGACAAACTACGAAGGTAAGGGGTGACTCAGGAACTCGGAAACTCTTCAGGCAGCAGGCAGGTTTAAAGATTTGTGGGTCACTTTGTTTCTTTCTTACCGAGTAAGGACATTTGGGGTCTGGTAGGGTGGCTCCGAGGCCTAATCCTTGCCTTGCGTGTGCTGGGATCCTAAATGGGCACCGGTTCATACCCTGGCTGCTCCACTTCTCATCCGGATCCCTGTTTGGGGGCCAGGGAAAGCAGTTGAAGATTGCTGAAAGCCTTGGGACCCTGCACCCATAGGGGAAACCTAGAAGAAGCTCCTGGCTCCTGGCTTCGGATCAGCTCAGCTCCGGCCATTGCGGCCACTTGGGGAGTGAACCAGTGGATGGAAGATCTTTCTGTCTCTCCCTTCCCTGTCGACATTTCCTTTCCAATGGAAAAAAGAGAAATAAGTGTTTTGTTTTTAACTAACAGTATTTGGGTCATTTGACTGTTCCTGGAATGGTTGGCTGAGTGGCTGCCGTGCAGTGGGCCCTGTTATGTGGCCGTCAGTTTTGGGTCCCCCGTGAGCTTTGTGCCCTGGGAGGAGCTTCTAGCACCCACCCCGAATGGGAAGACACCTCCTTGTTTGTCAGTCAATGAGCACAGCAAACTGCCAGCCATGTGAAGAAACTGCCCTCGTGATGCCAGGCTGGGACAAGACACAGAGCTAGGCAGTGCCCTCTCGCTCTGCCCATGCCAGGGTGTAATTTTGGGCATCTTGGCCTCCCCTGGGCAGCAGGAGGAGACGGGCAGGTGGTGACCAGGCCCTGACCCCAACCTGCCCTAGCATATTCTGTTTTTCCACATTTTTTTTTTAAGATTTATTTGTATTATTTTTATTGGAAAGGCAGATATACAGAGAGGAGAGACAGAGAGGAAGATCTTCTGACCAATGATTCACTCCCCAAGTGAGCCGCAACAGCTGGTGCTGTGCCGGTCTGAAGCCAGGAGCCTCTTCTGGGTCTCCCACATGGATGCAGGGTCCCAAAGCCTTGGGCCGTCCTCGACTGCTTTCCTGGGCCACAGGCAGGGAGCTGGAAGGGAAGCGGGGCTACCGGGATTAGAACCAGCGCCCATATGGGATCCTGGGCGTGCAAGGTGAGGACCTTAACCACTGCGCCACCGATCTGGGCCCCACATATTTTTTTTTAAACATTCCTCCTTGCCTTGTCTCCTTTCTCCCCTTTCTTATCTCCGTATATCCTTTTGTCTCCTCCCGTCTTTCTTCGTCTTCTCTCTCTTTCCCCCTTATCTCCGTTTATGTGAAAGGAAGGGTGACAGATATGAAGAGAGGGATGGAGAGAGAGAGAGATCTTCCTGTTGCTGGCTTACTCCCCAGATGGCTTCAGTAGCCTGGTCCGCACCAGGGTTGAAGCCGGGAACTTCATGCCGGTCTCCCATGTGGCAAGAACCGAGGCACTTGGGCATCTTCTGCTGCGTTCCCAAGCACAGTAGCAGGAAGGTGGATGGGAAGCAGAGTAGCTAGGGCTCTCACTGGTGCTCCTGTGTGGAAGCCAGCATCCCCACAGTGCTGCCCCACCTCCCCCTGTTTCTGTACCCTAGAGGTCACGACCAGGAGCGTGTTATAAAAACCAGAGAGCATCAGGGGCCCTGAAGATGACCTGGATGGGAGCTGGTTACAGAGAGGGCAGGGAGGACTGGGAAGCAAGGATGGTGTTGTTTCTTGCCACTTGCTGGTACTATTGTATTTAATCCCACAGCTGTATTACAGAACGAGTTTTTCTGCATTCTCATGACTAACAAAGAACCTCTTCCAATTGCGTGTGCCACTTCTGAGATCAGTATGTACCTGGCAGACTTCAAAAAGCTCATGGGATATGGAATGGCTCGTGTAACTTTATTTTGGTGCAAAAAAAAAATGTGTTTGACATTCACTCGTAATTTTTTTTTTCATAATACACATGATCTTTTTTTTTTAAGATATATTTATTTCTTGGAACGCAGATATACAGAGAGGAGGAGAGACAGAGAGGAAGATCTTCCATCTCTCCTGCTCTCTGTAATTCTGATCTCCCAACAAAAATAAAATAGATCTTTTTTTTTTTCTTTTGAAGAGTGGATTTGTGAAAGAAGAGTTGATTGAAGACCAGTTGATTGACTTCTGAAGTGGCCCCCACCCAAGGAGTTGACTTACCCTGCCCCATCCCATTGCTCCCTAGGGAATGGCAAATGGAGAGGGCCTTCCAGACGGCTCTGTGGCTGCTGCAGCCGGAAGTGGTCTTCATTCTGGGGGACATCTTTGATGAAGGGAAGTGGAGCACACCCCAGGTAGGACTCTGCCTTCCCAGGTTTGCCAGTCTGGCCTTGAGCCTTCCGCTCAGACTGCCCAGAGTCCACGGATCAGGGCTGGCTTGACCGGAAGTTTCGCTCGAACACTGTTGTTAATAAGAGATAGTCTGTCTTGTAGGTACTTTGTGTCTAATGCCATAGCCGACTGACTGCTGTTCTGTTTGTTTATGTAGGAAATGTGCGGGTCAGCCGGGCGGCAGTTGGTTGGCATGCAGTTGGTTGGCATGCACCTGCATCTTGCTAAACGGAAAAGCAGATGAGGCGCGGCCTCTTGCACCTGTCCCCCAGATGACAGAATGCGTGTTGAAGTGGGCATTCACTTTTCCCCCTTTTGTGCAGTCACTACGTTGGGAGACCAGTGCTCCCCGAGTCACCGGCTCTCCTCTGAGAGTGACGTAAGCCAGATTAAACGATGTTCGTGGGCTAGCTGCCGGCAGGCCCTGCTCACTCGCTTCTTGGAAGGAGCCAACAAAAAAAGGAGCCCTTCTTGCCGCTCAGTTGAACATGCCCCGTCACTCAGGGTTTCTGGATGGGGTTTGATTTGAGGGACGTTTCTTTCCATTGGCAGGAACTCTTAGGAAAGGCCAGTTCTTGTCCAGATAGAAACCTACTGTTTAACAGAATTGCAATGTCTGTTATCCCCAGGGCCGACTTTAGAAGATCATGGCAACGCTGTATTGAAAAAGCAACTGGCTTTTCTTTAAGTGAACCTATCCCTTAATTCCCATTTTCCATGAGCTTTAAAGGTTTTAGTTTGTGTATTTTTTCTTCATTTATTTAAATTTTTTTTTTAAATTGGCTCAAGAATTGGACTCGGTGCGTGGTTTTTCATCGTATGTGTTTCCTGTGAGGATTTTGAAGACCCCTTCTGCGTGTGTGTGTGTGTAAAATCTTTTTTTTTAAAGGATGTTTTATTTTAATTTTCTTTGTAATGTTGTTTACATAGTTGAGGGGGATGCAGGCACATGTGAGCCTCCGGTTGGGACGGAGGGATGGAGGAAGGGAGGTGGGATGTGTCTTTTAGGTTTTGGTTTTTTTTTCCTCCTGTGTCCTTAGGGAGGAGCAAGAAGGGGCTGCTCCTTGCTGTTGAACTACATCAGTGTACGGATGCGGGGATTGTCATGAGATGACACATTCGAGACCCCAACTGAAGGAGAGTGTTCTCAGGGGGATTCCTTCAGTGGTTTTGGTAGTTTTGAGAAATTGTCAGTTTCCCAGCTCCAGGGATGAGGAAGTAATTCCAAGGTTTATTAGCTGACCAATTCCACCTTAGTGCAGCCACAGACCCGCAAACCTGCTGCAAAGCTTGTCTAGGAGAGTGGTCCAACCTGTTCTGCTTTGCATCCTCTGACAAGCCACCCCACGTCTCTTGTTGGTGGAGATCGGATGGTTGTCATGCCCCCCTTGTGCATCTGCGCCTGCTGTCCATCACACCAGCAGCAGGGGCTGAGGAGGTCTGTCCTTGACACATGTACTCCAAGGTCGGACCACACCCTGTGATATTCCCTGTGGTCAGGGTCCAAGTCCCGCAGTGCAGTTGGGTAATCCCCCAAGAAACCTCACCTGGGGTGACCTCAGATTCAACTTTTCTGTGCTCCAGCCAGTGTGGGCTCAGGTTTGGCCCATCCCCTGCACCAGCCAGTGCACAAACTGGTGTGTGCAGCTGCCTGCTTAGTTCCACTGCAGCCCAATGTCTTACATGAGATGAGAGGTGCTGTGGCTCAGCCCAGCCAGCCTACCACAGATGCAGTCCTCTTGTATACCAGTGGGTGCTGTGGCCTAGTTAGGGCAACCCTTAGTAGTCACCAGGGCCGTTCTCAGTGCTGGTTTCTGTCCTTATCTACCTCTGCTGTGGCCTCACCTGGTGCAGCCCACAACCCATCTGCCTCTTGTGCACACCTGTGGGTGGCTAAGCTCAGCCTGACCTGCCCCCAGACTGGGCTATCACATTGCTGACAGGCGCTGCTGCCTTGTCCTATCTGGCCCACTGCCAGCCTTGGTTCTTGTGCTCATAAGTGATAGGTACAGCCTAACAAGGGAGTGCCCAGAGTTGCCCTGCCAAGCTTGTTCCCAACCCTGATCTTAGGCCTGCCAGGGGATTTTGTGTTCAAGCTTAACATATCCAGTCCTGGCACTTGCCAGCTGGTGTTGTGCCTAGCCCAGCTGGCCTGCACCCATTCTGGCTCTCATTTTGGCAAGCAGGTACAGCAGCCTAGCTCAGCCTGACCTGCACCCAGACCATACTGTCCCCAGCCCCAGCTCACCAGTAGAAGCACCAGTCTGAGATGGCATGTTCCTAGTCTTGGCATTTGCCAGCAGGTGCTGCAACTTAGCTCAGCCTAGTTCCAGCTTTGTCAAGCACCGATGGGTGGGATTGATGCTATTTAGCCCAGCCCTGGTCTCCTACATGGGCAGATGCCTTGGCCTGACCCATACATGCCCTCCGGTTTCCTCCCTTGAAACCACTGCATCTCAGCTCGCTTGCCTACCTGCAAGGGCAGTGGCCCAGTCTGTGGAAGACCCCAGAAATCTTCTCTTTCCTGTCCAGCATGCGTTCAGCTACTTGCACTCCAATACATCCGCAGACTCTGGGGGCCAGGCTGCTCTGTCCTGGCCCAGAGTACCTGCCTCCCCCACTTACCTTTAAAAAGAAAAGGAGGAGAAGGAGAATAGGGCAACCATGCTGGCATTCTGGTATAGTTAATACAGATTTGGCATTAACCAGGCCCAGAATGCCTGCTAGCTAGCTACTGGCTGCTTTTCTCCCAGCAGTATAAAACTTGTCTAGGTTTTACAAGGCAACCTATACAGTTGCCTCTAGTTGGGGCATTTTGTGTGTTTGAGTTACAGAGGGAGGATAAACAGACACAGGCAGGAAGTAGAGAAGGGAGAGGAGAGATTGAGAGAATGAGTCTTCCAAATGATTGTCATGGTCAGACCACTGCCAGGCTGAAGCCTGGAGCTTGGAACTCCATCGGGGTCTCCTGTGTGGGTGGCAGAAACTCAAGCATTTGGCTCATCTTCTGCTGCCTTCCCCGGACACAGCAGAGAGCTGCAATCACAAGTGGAGCAGCTCACCTGAGCTGGCACTCGTATGGGCACTGCCAGTCCCAGCAGCTACCTTAAATGTATAGTTGGATATATCTGGTTGCTCTGGCAAGCTAAGGATGACACTTTATGAGTTTCAAAGTTTGTGATTTTGGTTTTGTTATTCTAGCTTTAAGTATCGTTTAATTGGGACCTTTACGAACGAGTCATATTTTCCCAGGTTGTGCTAAAATTTTGAGGATGAATTTGATCTACTATCCAGAGCAGAGGTCTTCTGCCATCCAGGGAGTTTATCCAGTTGATATTTTTTAGGCTGAAACAATGATACTAACACAACTCTGAAGCTGTAATGGTTAAAACAGATATCAGGAGAATTGTGAGATATTTACTGTATTTTGTATAATGAATGCTTTTTCTCTCACCTTATTAGTTCTCATCCCTGCCGATGAACCCACAGGGGGATGCTGAAGGATGGTTGCATCCTTGGCTTGGTTCAGACACACTGGGCGTTTTCTAAGGGCCTGCTATATCTGATCCAGTTCCTAACCTGGGGTCCCCGCGTCCTCTTCAGGGGACCCTGCGATGATAGGGACATGGACCAGACGTCTTGAGGGACTGCCAGTTAATGTTTTAAGATGGGGGAAGGTACTGTTGAGTTACATTTGGCGTCAGATGAAATCATGTAAAGTGTTATCTGTAGTCTTAGAAAAGTAAGAACCGCATAGGACTTCAAAGTCTGCATTAGCTCCGGGAGCACCTGGTTTGGACCAGGGAATCAGCCTCTGAAATCCAAAGAGAGGTCCTGTTTGCTGGTCACAGGAGAGTGTGTCCAGGCTGTCAGCAGTGACCCTGTTCCCTCCCAGGCCTGGGCACATGATGTGGAGCGCTTTCAGAAAATGTTCAGACATCCAAGTCACGTGCAGCTGAAGGTCGTGGCTGGCAACCATGATATTGGCTTCCACTACAGGTAAGTGGGTCACCACTGCAGCGTGCCCTGAGAGTCTCCTTAGCCAGTATGCTCAACCTGTTAAGTGGACTTCGGGTGATAGCTTGGCTTGTTCTCGATGGAGGAAATCTGTTATCTTTAAAAGGACATGTAAGCAACTCAGGGATTTTTAATATTGGCACATAGTACGCATAGTCAAGAAACTCCTTTTGGGCGCATGGTTTTTTGTGAAAAAGCATTTGTCTAAAGGCAAAATGATCACGCGAGTGATACCTGTGTATCTATTCTAGAGAGATTATCTTCCATTTACTTATCAGTCCCTGGCAACAGCTAGGTCTGGGTCAAAGGCAGGAGCTAGGAACCCCGTCCTGGGCTCCCAGGTGCTTCAGCAGGAAGCTGGATCGGAAGTGGAGCAGCTGGCACTCAACTGGTCCTCAGCAAGCAGTGACTTGATGTGCTGTGGGGAACACTGACCCCTCAAGGTCCAATTGTTTTACCCTGCAGTGCCACTGAGGGCCCTGCAGTCCCTGGGGGAGTCAAGGAACTTGCCCCTGGCCTCCAGCAGGGTGGTGGCGCTGTAGCAGTGCAAGCCGCAGCTGAGAGTGGCAGCGTGGCACTCAGATCTGGGCGCTCTGCTCCCTCTCTGTGGTGGCCAGAAGCTGCGAAGTTCTAAGACAGATTGATCTGAAAGATGTTTCTTTTCCCCAACTAATATAGGATGAACAGATACAAAGTAAGACGATTTGAGAGAGATTTGAACTGTGAGAAGCTGTTTTCTTGGAAAGGAATTAAGTGAGTATTCCTTGTGAGATTCTATGGCCATGTTTGAACTTCAGTTCTGGAGCGTGACAGGTGTACCTGCTTTGAGTTACATCCCCTGTGGCCGGGCTCGGCATCTGACTGCTGCGCCTCGGGCTGCCCTTGCTGACAGTCATGTGAAAGTCGATAAGGGGGAAGCCTGCAAGCGCCCCGCTTTTCCTTCTGAGCTCGAGGGCCTCCGGTAGTGAACACTGCTGCCTGCCCTGTGCCTGGTTCTTATTTCTGCACTGGCTGTGGGGTAGGGACACATTCTGTAAAACAAGGTTTTCTTTTCTTTTTTTTTTTTTAATACACTTGATTGAAGTGCCCTAGTTTTGCTTTATAAAGGTGTTTCCATAGTGATAGTGCCCTGATATAGGTGGCAGATGTGTGGGGTGTTCCTGAGGCTCTGTGGCACCCCTATCCCATCAGCCTCGCATTAGGCCGGAGCCTCCTTATCCTTGGTCTGACCGTGGGCTCCCCTTCATTGAGGCCACTATGGCGGCCGTGTCTGGAGTCTCACTGGGCCAGACTGTGTGCATATCCTGTTTGCACTGGTGGGGTGCCAGGGATGAGATGGAGGTGGGAGGAATGCAGGAGAGAAAACTTAGAGTTAGTCATCTCCTTCCGCCTGAGTCACCTCCCAGGTGTGGCTCTGGGGCTGGCTGATACACCCTCTGGAAGACACCAGGAAGCCTTTGCCTGCCTCAGCCTGCAGGGTGGAGTCCCCGACTGGCAGATCTCTTTGCCAAGTCGTAACAGACGATAACAGACGGAAGAGAGTGCGTCAGACTCCAGGCGCACTGACCATATTCCGATCCCTTGCTCAGCTCTTTGTCTTTGAAACTGCTGAAATCTTAGGCAGTGTTTCCAGCCAGGTGCCCCTTCTGGGTTCAAGGACGAAAGACATCTTAGGGTGAGTCAATGAGATCCAGCTAAGGTAAAGGGGCTTGCAGAAGACACCTGTCACTTGGTGGTGTCACTACACTTGTTTTTTTTGGCGGGGGGAGTATGCACCCAGTTAGCCTAACCAGTACTTTACCCGCTGCCTTTCCTGCAGAACATCCCTGCCATTAGTGGTCGACTTTGTGGAGGGATAACACCGAGTACTTTCTAGCAGCAGGCTCCTGTCCGTGCACCTGCTGGTTCATTTCATCAAGTCCCCCCTTTGCCCAGCTGCGGTGCATAGGCCCTTCAGACGAGGCACAGCAAGCTCAGAATCTACCTTAGGACACATGGTCTGCTCAGATGCTGAGCCAAGGGGGCCGACCAGCCTCAGAGCTGCTGTCACGGGTCTTCTCCCAGGTTTAAGGTTAAAAATCCTTTTCCATGCCTTGGCCTACTTGTGTGTCGTTAACAGTGACTCACGGAACACAACCTTAATCTAGCTGGGATTTCAGAGTGTTCTGGACTCCCCTGTCTTCATACCGTGCTCCCCAAGTCCTCTTTGCATGGGTGGAAGGGAGAGAAGGCAGTAGCCCACGCAGTGAGCACTGGGCCCACCTTCTGCCTGCTTCCACCTGTTGCAGTTTCGTGATGGTCAACAGCGTGGCCCTGGAAGGGGATGGCTGCAGCATCTGCTCTGAGGCCGAGGAGGAGCTGACGGAGATTTCCCGCCGACTGAATTGCTCCCGACAGGTAGGCGGCCACCTACAGCCACAGCAGCCTCCTGCTCCGTGGATTCCTAACAGCTTGTGCTGTTGGTCACCCAGCCCCCCGGCTTCCCTTCCCAGTGCGTGGTGCGTGTCAGGTATGCCGCATTAAGGGCTGGCTTCCCAACAGCAGGGACGTAGTGCCAGCCAGTGTGGAGTGGAGGAGCTGCTCCCTGCGTCTGCCCCCATCCTCCTGCAGGTGAGCCAGGGGGCGGGGGATGGGGAGCAGCTGCAAGCCCAGGGTACCCCCTGACCGCTCTTACAATCCCTGCCAGCATTACCCACTGTATCGGAAAAGTGATGCTAACTGTTCCGGGGAAGACGCGGCCCCCCCAGAGGAGAAGAGCATCCCGTTCAAGGAGAAGTACGATGTGCTTTCTCAGGAGGCGTCTCAGAAGGTTTGTCCGTGCTGTGACCACCTGTCCGGGGGGCCCGCTCCTGTCCTTTCTGCTTCACGGGCAGCATGGGTGGGGATGGTTGTACCCTGCACCTGCACCATCGATGGCAGGTTTTTTATTTTTATTTCTTTGAGAGATAGTTTCCATATGCTGTGTCCTTCCCCAGTGCCCGCAGTGCCCGCAGTGGCCGCTTCCCTGGCCAAGACCAAGCTGGGAACCAGACACTTGATCCCTGTCTCCCACCTGGCTGGGTGGGGGGACCCCAATCACTACAGCCATGACTCTGCTCCCCTGGGTCTGCGAAGCTGCAGTTGGGCTGGCGCTGGGAGTTGAAGCCAGGTCCTGCAGTGTGAGCATCTTAATTCATAAAGGTCAGGTGGCTGCCCAGGCATAACACACACACACACACACACACACACACACACACACACACACACACACACACGTGTGTGTGACTGCAGTTATCAGTGGAGGCTGGGGGGAGGTCTGGAGAGCATGTCAGATTTCCATTTCATCCCTTTGTTTCTTTCTTTTTACCCCAGTAAACCTACTTCCCAATTCACAGTCTCTAATATTCGCTAATTCTCTAATATTCTCCACTGGGTATCACACTCAGAGCTTTCTTATCAATTTCAAATGTGTTTGGAGAGATGAATGACTTGTATTTTTAAAGACTTAGCTAAACTTAGTGCACATTCTTAAATATATGTATTGCTGAGATATATGAAGATATATCAACAAGCTCATGAAAAAATAGGATTCATTGTAAGTTTATTCTGGTGCAAAAGAAAAAAAAAATTGAAATCGATGCCCAGGAGGGTCTTCAAAGTCCATAAAAAGGCTATTATGAAAAAGCTATGCATAGATCTTAGATTTTTTTTTTTTAATACCAAAATAAACTGGACGGAGAGCCCTCCCATCTCCTGGCTCACTCCCCAAATGCCTACAATGGCTGTGCTGAAGCTGGGGGCGAGGAATTCAATACAGGTGCCCCACTGGGTGGCAGGGACGGAGGACCAAGGAGGACCAAACTGTCACCAAACTGTCACCGCTGCCTCCCAGGAGCAGGAACCTGATGGTGGAATGTGGAATGTAGCCTCAGGCCACACCCTTCCCCCCATGAGCTTATAATTCCATTTTCTACTGACTGCCTAACATCCCTTCATAGATATATTAATTTAATATATGCTAGAACGGAAACTTGTCGCTGGAGCCTACTTACAAAATGAATGAAATGTTTGAAATAGGTGGGGAAGACCCACCTGTGAGGGGAGGAAGCTACGTTTGAGTTAGCGTGAAAATCTGTGCTCAGCAACAAGGCAGCCCTACCTAGCAGGCTGTCTTTGATTCTGTGACGGAAGTGCCAACTAGAGGATCATGTCCTGCAGCGGAAAGGGTGGTCCATGGGGTCCAGGCACTCATGGCTGCCTCTTGTCACCACAGCTGCTCTGGTGGCTCCGGCCACGCCTGATCCTGAGCGGCCACACGCACAGTGCCTGCGAGGTGCTGCACCCGGGAAGCGTCCCCGAGATCAGCGTCCCGTCTTTCAGTTGGAGGAACAGAAACAACCCCAGTTTCATCATGGTAACGTGAACGTTGAAGTTTTTATTTGTTGGAAAGCCTTCCTAAGTATTGAACTTGACACAGTACTCCGCCATGAAGTTAACTACCGTTCAGTAAAAATATACAAAAGCCGTACGTTACATTTCATCCCTCGCACGCTCCTCACCCCCTCCCTAAAGAGATGAACAGCGCACAGTCCCTGGGGTGGGGTGGGGTGGTCTCATCCCTCGAGGAGGGTGCATGTGTGTTTCATATCCTAAGGAGACAGAGTCACTTACGCATTAACTAACCTCTGAAGTTTCCAGAAATGCCCAGTCGCCCTGGTGGACAGTGCCGGCACTGCAGTGTTTGCACATGGGTTCAAGACATTATTTCATTACACCATCAGCTCCTTTCTTTGGTCATTTTGCCAATTGCTCCATGAAAAGGAGGGGGAAACCCTAGTGTTTTGAGATTCAGGGTAAATGAGTTGTCATCTCCCCCACCCACCAAATCGTGCCACACTTCAGAGGTGTTCTGGGCACGTGCGCTTCTAAGGTGGCATGTTTCATCGATTCTCGGTCTGCACGGTGCCCTCGGCATCTCTGCCAGGCGTGCCCCCACCCTCCTGTGCCCAGGGCTGCTTTACACGGTGAGGTCAGTGTCCCAGACTTGATCCCCAGGCACCCGTGGCCTGGACTTCTCTTCTTTGGCTCACCGTGTGTTGACTGGCACAGGCTGAAGGCCTTGACACCTCTCCTTGCTGCTCTGTCCCAGCTAGATGGGTGGCTCCAGCTGTGGTAGAAGCTTCTCTCATTTCTCTTCCAGGGCAGCATAACAGCCGCGGATTATGCCCTCGCCAAGTGCTACCTGCCATTTGAGGACACGGTTCTGGCCATCTACTGCGGAGTAGCCAGCCTCCTTGTGCTCCTCATCTTGATCCACTTTCAGCTTTTAGCCCCACCTTTTCTTTTCGGTGGGTACCTGTTCCGATTGCCCACGATACGGTGACAGGGAGGAGGCAGTCTTTGCATCTGGTCATCAGTGTCACAGCCAAAGGAAGCCACCTTCCTCCAGAGCTCACGTTAAGAGTCGAGTGGACAGTGACCATCCAGCATGGGGCCTCGTTGGCGCATGCTGCGGATGTCCCAGGTCACTGACGCGAGTGGCTGTAGAATAAACGGCTGTACTAGTCTCATGCTAGCAAAATGAGACATGTACTTTACAACAGATCCGCTTCCTGGTTTTTTGTCTTTTTTTTTTTTTTATCAAAGTTGCTTTTGTACAGTTTGTAGATGCTACTGACACTATCACTCGCATGCACAAGACAGTCACGCAGTCCTTGCTTCCCCGGGAGCGCCCAGATGGCACACGTGGGGCTCATGTGCACCCATCTCCCAGGCTTGGTTCTCAACCTGCTGCAGACGGGGGAGGCAGAACGCTTGGAAGCACGGCGCAACACGCAGTGACATCTTGGTCTTCACGGACTTGTCTCCTGATGCAAGTGCGATTCTTAAGAGAAGCCCCGCTTTCTCTCCAGAAGGCTACTTGTTGTATCTGCATAGAATGCCTTTCAGCGAATGCAAGACAGTCGCGACGTGGAGAAGAAAATGGGTCTTCCTTCCTTTTTCATCCCCCTCACCCCACCCCCGAGTCTGGTTCTCCTCCTTGTCCTTAAAAAAAACTCAATCTTTTAAATGGGATGCCTAGAGAATTAACTAATTTTGCATAACGGCAGCGGGTAACTTTAGTTTTTGGGTGGAGATGCAGCTTGGGTTGCTTTGGAAGTATAGGGAGACGGAAGACATAGTGACACAGCGCATATGTGGCACCGGCTGCTTAAAAAGTTATCCTTTTGTGGAAAAAGTGGTGTTGAAGTCTGAATTTCTAATGGATTAGGGAATGCTGACTCACAGAGCGCACTTGAAAGTACTAAACATTATAAGAAGATTCATGGAGCGATTTTCTGCATTTGTTTTAAGCGTTTCACTTTGGACATCTTTAGATCGGAGGAAACTATTCTGAAAGCTGTGGCTGTGGTCCAGCTGTACCTAACTTCTGAGGTTGCATTTGCAAATCCTACAAGGGGGAGAGACAGCCAGGAGTTTTGGGTGCATATTTCAGTCCATGACCGAGGGAGATACTGTCCTCCTTGTGCCCCAGGGTTGAGTGCACCTGTTGACCCCACGCCGATGTCTGACGTGCGTGGGGTGGTGTCTGTTCCAGGCTGTGACAGGGAATGGACGCCTGGGCCCTCTGCAGTCTTTAACCAGCAACGTAAGCAAGAAAGAAATTCCCTAGACAGCTGTCAGTGGGGTCGGAGATGTCAATTTCTCCCGTTGAACTGGGTTCAGGCTGAAGCACAGGGAAGTGAGCAGGTGGCTGCAGGACCTGTACTGGCATCAGACCGTTGCTGCCACTCTCTTACAGAGAAGTACTGGATAAAGTACCACGTGATAAAAGTACCCCGAATTCTGCAGCAGCCATCCAGCCCCCTTTTCAGAGTCAACAGCAGGTAACATTGAGCACTATGAGAACAACCACATTTTGTCCACAGGGGTAGCCGAGTCAAGGCACACCAGTCTACGAGGAGCTTTGCTTTAGTTGTGATACAAAAGAATGTTACATCTTGGGGGGGGGAGGGTCTGTACAGTGTTAAGAACCAGCAACAAAAGGAAAGAGGCCAAAAGGCTGCACCCACATTTCATGGGGGTGTAGAAAATCATTGGTAGACGGGGACACGTTTTTTTTTTTTTTGCAAGAAGTGTGGCCAATTTTCTGCCGAAATGGACAAGGCCTCAGGTGGTTATGATTGCAATGCCTGTGACAGGCAGGCAGCGCAATGGAAGGGGGGGGGTCTGTCCTTGTCCTGGGCATGGGACAGCTGGGAAGGACCGGCCACCTGCCACCCTGCAGCTTCCTAAGGTGGCAGGATAGAGCACACACGTCTGCATTCCTGCTTGATAACTTGATAAGTTCCCTGTCTAGCAAGCTAAGCCTTTTTTTGCTGATGGATAAAGGGACAATTGAGTATCCCGGGCCCCCACCCAGAGAGATGTCACTGTATTGTCAGCTCCCAGGAGAGTGACACACATGGACGAGGCCGTCGGGAGCCTGCGGGAGGTTGTGCTCCGTTAGAACAGGAAGCTGCAGAGCCAAACCTGGGGTGGGTCAGAGGTAGCCGGAGGCTTGGTGGTTGCACGTGGGGTTGTATCCAGGAGGGGACAGATGCCGCCAGGTGCAAACTAGAAATGATGTCCTACCGCGGGCATGGGGGCTGGAGAAGCTTCCACCTGCGGGGTGTGAGGGAGCGGGGGTGGGGGCGGCGGGAGGCGGGCAGGCAGCAGCCCCTCCTCACAGGAGTTCGTACTGCTTAAGGTGCATCCGTTGGATGATGTCGCGGCAGTCGTTGAACACCCTGCGGATGTTCTCCGTGTCCACGGCACAGGTGAAGTGAGGGTAGCAGTAGTGTTTGCCGTCACCCGTGGCCGTGCTGATTCTCTACAAGAGATACACACAGAGTGTCCCCGCTGAGGACCACACAGCCCTGACCCTCTCCGGGATGGCCCTTGGGCAAGCAGTGCTTCGTGCAAAGGCCAGAGGGCTGTGGCAACAGCTGGATGGCTGCTGGGAACCTGCGGCAGTGCCAATTGCATTCTGGGCACGCTGCTGGGCACCACACAACCCACAGCCCGGTGCAGCTCCGAGCAGAGCTGGGAGGCAGCGCGTAAAAGCGCCCTCAGAGTTTGTGGCAAATGGAATTAAGCCTAAGTTGATTTTGGCTCAAAGCAACTTTTGCAACCCACATAGGAGAGTTCCCCAAAAGCTGATGGAGTTGCCGACCCTGTGGCACACGAAGTGGCTGTGGGCAGGCATTGAGGGGTATGATCCAGCAACTGGGAGCTCTTTCTAGATAGATAACAAATAATCTAAACCCAGAAGACAGCAGTGGCACAGTGTTCCCTGAACTGTCTAAGGAGATAGAGTGCACAGGAGGTGACTGAGGTATAGTGAGGTCATGTGGCTGGGCCCCAGCCCAGGCTGGTGTCCTTGTAGGGGAAGCAGCTGTGGAGGACACACAGTCCAGGGGCGAGCAGGTGCTGCCGCTAGAAAAGCATCCCACCTGGGCAGGTGAACGTGGGGCCGCGGAGCCTCTTGGGGAGCAAGCTCCCGATGCCAGGCACTTCCACCTCAGCTCTCTGTGCCTGCCAAGCTTCCTAGGAAAGCATTGTGATGGAGACACAGGGTCCAGGCCCAGGTTTTATAGCCAGCGGATCCCTCATAGATTCTCCCACTGATTCTTAGCAACAGTTGGAGTTCCCTTAGCACTTACAAGTTTGTTTTAAATTCTGGCCTCCTGGCAGCAGGGGGTTATAAATCTTTTCAATCCTAAACACCATGTGAGCTATTGGGCATGCAGGCACAGTGAGTTTGTGGTTAATGGAGTAGGAAATAGATTTGCTTCTGTCATAATCAGTCTGGTTTGTCCTTGCCTGGGGCAGCTGGTTTGGCCCCTGACATGGACGTGTGACAAGGCTGCTGCAGGTCCTAAAGGGCAGGTTCCTCCCTTTCCCAGACACTCCTATGGCTTTCCTGAACAAAGATAAAGAAAGATAAGACTAGGCTGTGTTGGACTCCACCCTAGGGCCTGGACCCCTGGCTGTCGCCCAGCTCCCTTGGGCTCTGCCCCAGGCGGTAACAGCATGGTGAGCTCAGGCGATGCTCAGTGGCCCAGGAGACAGGTATCTCAAGAATGCCAGGTACCTCTCTCCCCCGTTTAGTCACCATCCTTGGCTCTCCCGGGTCTGGAGCAGCCAGTTTGGGAGGCCAGGGCTGTTCAGGGTGACCGATGGGACCTAGTGTCCTGGGGGCTTTCAGCACACTCCTGGTTGCCCCTGTCGTCCATTCTACTGGGCTCTAGCCTCCCACGCACGGAGGTCCAGAGGCCGTGTACTTAGGCGGGAGGCCACAGACAACCGGAAGCCTCTTCTAAGCAGAGCTCTTCTCCCTGTGCCTTCTCCCCTCCTCCAAGAGGGCCTCCTGGGTCCCTTCTCCTTCAAGGTGCTTTCTTCCCAGGCCCTCTGTTGCCATGGTCTCCACCACCACCTGTCTCCCAGGGTTCACGCCTGAGCTGATCGAACATAGAGATGCAACCTGGTTAGGGGCTGTCTCTGCGCTCAACCGGTCTCAGGCTCTCATCGCCCCTGGGCCAGCTTTGGTCTACTGGTGGAGAGTAAGAAGAGGCCTGTTGCAGGTCTGGGTTTGTCTCGGACAGGTCTGCTCCTACCCTGCATCCAAATACCCAGTTCCTGGTCCTGGTCAACTTGTAGTCCTCATTAGAAGAGCAGACTGTGGGATACTGGTTGCGTGGCTTTCTACTTTATGGTCTTATAAGATGCTCTTCAAAAAGGGGGTTTCAGGGAGCCTGTGCAGTGGCATAGTAAGTTAAGCTTCCGCCTGTGGTGCCGGCATCCCATACGGGTGCCTGTTTGAGTCCTGGCTATTTTACTTCCAATCCAGCTCCCTGGTAATGCACCTGGGAAAAAAAAATAAGGATGGTCCACACATCCTTGGGTCCCTGTGCCCACATGAGAGCTCCAGAAGAAACTCCTGGCTACGGACACAGGCCCAGCATTGCTCATTGCAGTCATTTGGAGAAAGGCTCAGTGGATAGGAGATCTGTCTCTCCTTCTCTCTCTGTAACTCTGCTTTTCAAATAAAAATACACTTTAATTCAAAAGGGCTGAATTCCTGGCTGGAGAACTCCTCAGTGCACGCTGGCCCTGAGACTCTATGGCAGGGTGGCAGGCCCCACAGGCACACCCCCACCCGAGTGCCCCAGCTGCTCTGTGTGGCACCAGGGCTGGGGTTGGTCATCATCACCCTCTAGCTCCCCCTGGTGTTCAGAGGGTGCCACCAGGCTAGCTGCTATGGGAAGGGGTAAAGTCCCTTTCCTGTGATAGGCTACCAAGCCTGGGGGCCTTGGCTCAGGCAGCCAGGGCTCCTGTTTCTTTGGATGTCAGTAACTGCCCACACATGGGAACATGCCCTTGCGAGTGCCTTGGCATTGACCAGCTTCAAGCTAGTAAAAGCAATCAGCTAGAAGCAAGAGGTGACGTTTTACCGGTTGGTTAGATCCTGTAAGAACTATGTGAATAATTCTTTCACTTCTTATGTAAGCTTGCAACGATGTCAAAAGAAAAAGATGGAGGGGAAAAAAAAAAAAAGAAATGTCTGAATTTGATTGGTTCCTGTCCATCTTTGGCTTTAGCCTGCAGCTCCTTTGGATGGAGGACGAGGGCTGAGTGCTGGTTACACAGAAACGCAGCCCCAGGATGGCGTCCAGGAGCACCCCTGGGCTCCGTTTCCCAGGGAGCTGTGAGCCTGCTCTGACGCTGTTGCCAGGAAGCTGTGGGACTCTGGGTGGGAGATGCTGGGCTTCCCTGAACTCTAGTGGGCTCAGCTCTGCCATGTAGGCTACAACCCCTTCCACTCTCTCACCATCCATGGTTTTGGGTAAGCAAAAAAAGAAATGTAATCAGAAAGGGATTAAGTAGTTTGCAAACTATACAGAACAGCGTTAACTCGTGGTGGCAGGGAAAACCAAGGTTAATGGGAATACTTACCAAGAAGAGATCTCGGATGAAGAACTTGGCTCTTGTCACTTTGGGGTCTTCTCCTGCATCCGGTGTTGCTGAAATCACAGAAGTGTCTGTTAGTGACCTGAACAGGTGGTAGTGCCAGGCGGAACCCAGAGGGGATGACAGAGGGGCGCTGGCTGCGTATGGCACACTTCCTCCCTGCTCTCCCGTCATTTAGATGGCTACAGCTCCAGTGACACTGTTCATTGGGGCACATACTTCATGTGGTCCCACAATTCCTGCGTGGAAACATAAGTTCCAGTGCAATAGAACTGGGGGAGCCACTAGGTTGTGGGAACTCTGCCTGCAGCCACTGGTTGGGACCCAAGGTGGGTGGCTTCTCATGACAACACCTGCGAGAAACTGCTCAAGGAAGGAGGGAGCCCCATCCCAGCTCAAGCTTTGGATGCTCACGGGCAGAGGCCGGAGCGAGGCTGGATGGCCCGATTTGTATGGGATCTGATGGGCTGGAGGCTAGCAGTGGCAGAGGAAAGAACCTCTGCTGGTCCAGAAAGGAGGGGGGAGGGGAGAGAGAGAGAGAGAGAAGGCAAGCCCCCAGTGACCTAAAGATTGCACTCCCCAGAGTCCTTACCTGGATCAAGGCTTCACCCTGTTAGCACCAGCGGTCCCTGAATTTGGGGTTTTACACCTATGCCTGAGGTGGGGAGCAAATCCTGTCCTAACTATAGCAATGTCCTCATTAGCAATGTCCTAACTATAGCAGTGGCCCCCAGGGAGCTTGTCTGCTCCTTTGTCCATGTGAGAACAAGACTAGGGCTGCCAGCATCCTCAGCAGGATCTTCTCAGGTTGCAGGTGGTGAGCCACACCCCCCTGTTGCTGCCACGTGACCCCATCTGGGGCATTTGGTTACAGCAGCTGGAGCAGAGTGAGCCAGGTGGGAGCAAAACTTCTTAAAGGCTGTCCTTGGCGAGCTTGGAAGGCAGGAGAGAGGGCAGGGTTCAAGTGGGCAGAGCTGTGAGCTCTCTACTGCCTGGCTCCTATCAAGACTACCCCTCTCTGATCCTGTGGCACATACTTTATTTGAAATCGCAACAGAAATCAACCTGGTGTGGATCATTGGGATTCTGGGTCCTCCTTCACAGAGTCCAATTCTTGGGATAACCCCACTGCTTTCCATGACCTCATGGAGTCTGGGGTCCTATGTTCTAGGCAGCCCACCTGAGTATTATCCCACTGCTTTCTCAGCAATAGGATCTGTGGAGACTCGGGAGCGGAGGCTTGACTCGGACACTGCTGTGTTGGGCCAAAGGCAGGTACCAGGCAGGCCTGAAGATGGGTAAGGAGGGGCATGACGCCCCCTGTGGTACTCAGCCTGGGGTGTGTGCTGGGGTGGTGGTTCCCCACCCCTGCAGCTGCATGGCATCCATTGGGGTAGGCTCTGGGCATGGGCCTTTCCTGAGGGTTGAAATATACTATGTTGTACCTGCAAGCTACTTCCAAAAATCTGTGGCAAAGGAAGTACCAGACATGAGGATGCTTCAAAAAGCTTGTGGAAAAACAAAATGAAAAGATGTTTATTTTGGTGCAAACCAACGTGAGGTTCATGCATACCCTTTTCATAATATGCATTTCCAACAGAGTTTTGGAAGATCCACGTGGGACAGCCTTTTGGAGGAGCTAGCAAGGCCGTGTCACGGGAGGTTAATCAGAGGCTCAGCCTGGCAGCAGCACCCTGGTCACGCCTTCTTCTGTGGCAGTCTGAATGGGAACTCTTAAGACATTGACAAGCGGAGCCCCCAACAGGACATTTAAAACAGGTGGAGCATCTCCATTGCAAAAACTCTGAGCTCTGAACATGCAAACGAATCTCAGTGTTCGGAGCTCTGACATGACAGTGTACACGGAGAATTCCCCAGCTGACCTCGGGAGACAGGGTCACGGGCAGCACGTGGGTACATAACAGCATTACACAAGATCACCCGAGGCTCTAGGTGCGAGCAGTATAGGAAACACAAGTGGATTTCCTGTTTAGACTTGGGTTCCATGCTCAGGGTGGCACATTATGTGTATGCCAATACTGCAAAATAATAATAATAAAAAAAGCCTTCCAAAATAAATAACATTTCTGGTTCCAAGTGTTTCAAGAAAAGGGACCACCAGCAACCTATTAAATGGGGCAGTTGGAGGGAGGGTTGATTCCAACTAATGGTTTATCTTTGATCCTTTAGAGGTATATGAATTACAGTCACAGAGCTCTTAAGAAAGTATTAGTTCTCTCTGCTCCAGAACAAAGTTTTAAAGTCTCACCATCTTCGGGAACAGTATAATTTGCATACTCTGGGAAGTAGTCTTCAATTTTTGACTTCCCCGCCAAGACTTTTTCTGCCAGCATATCCTGTTTGTTCAAGAATAGGATGATAGAAATGGTCCGTAACCACCTGAAAAAGGGAGAAAGAAAAAATGCGCATTTCACACACGCTGGCATCCATCAGTGCCCTAACGTAGGAGCTGCAAAATTAAAAGGGGGAATGTTGTCTTCTTTCTGGAGAGACACAGGATTCCACAGTGGCTGATGGACCTATATTCACAGTGTCTCCGTAAGCGATGATGAGCAGGTGCAGGAAGTTAGCTGGCAGTTGCGTCTTTTAGAACTCATTTCCACTGGGGATACACAGCTATTAGCTCCAAAGCTAAAATTTGGTTCTATAATAAAAATACTTGGATTAAAAAAAATACTTGTGATGAGAGAGAGAGAGAAAGAGAAAGAGCTCCTCTCTGTTGGTGCACATCCCTGATGCCCCCACCAGCTGGGGACAGAAACCAGGAGCCTGGCTCTCCTTCCAGGTCTCATGTGGGACCCACGTGGTACCTCTAGGGTGCGCATCAGCAGGGAGCTGGAATCGGAAGTGGAGCCAGGAGCCAGGCACATCAAGTGGCACATCAAGTTAAGTTGCCACCCGCAATGGCGGGCATCCTGTATCAGAGTGCTGGTTCAAATCCCAGTTGCTCTGCTTCCCATCCAGTTCCCCGCTAATGTGCCTGGGAAAGCAGTGGAAGATGTCACAAATACTTGGGCCTCTGCCACCCATGTGGGAGACTTGAACGAGGTACCTGGTTTGGGCTGTTGCGGTCATTTGGGAAATGAACCAGCAAGATGTCTTCTATTCTCGTTTGTAATTCTGTCTTTCAAATAAATTACTTAAAAATTATTTATTTAAGTTATTTTGAGAGAGAGAGTAATCTCCCATTGCTGGCTCAATTATGAAATGCTTATAACAGCTAGAATTAGACTGGGTAAAGCTAGGAGTCCGAAGCTCCATCTGGGTCTACTGTTTGGGTGGTAGGGACCCAACTACTCTGCCATCATTTTCTGCCTCCCATGGTGTGCATTTGCAGAAAGCTGGAATTGGAAGTGGAGTTGGCACCCAAAGGCAGGCACTCTGATATAGTTGTGGGTGCCACTGCTCCATAAGGGTCTCTTAGGGATCACGTAAGGTATTCCCAGAAGCCCTGAAGTAGGAGGCTTTGAAAAACCAAACCTAATCCATTTTGAACCCTGGATACAGAAGTGTTTAAAAACAGATTGACAGGGCCCGGAGCGGTGGCGCAAGTGGTTAAAGGTCCTCGCCTCGCACGCCCGGGATCCCATATGGGCGCCGGTTCTAATCCCGGCAGCCCCGCTTCCCTTCCAGCTCCCTGCCGGTGGCCTGGGAAAGCAGTCGAGGACGGCCCAAAGCTTTGGGAACCTGCACCCGCGTGGGAGACCTGCAAGAGGCTCCTGGCTTCGGATCGGCATAGTATCGGCCCGTTGCGCTCACTTGGGGAGTGAATCATCGGACGGAAGATCTTCCTCTCTGTCTCTCCTCTCTCTGTATATCCGCCTTTCCAATGAAAAAATAATAAAAATAAATCTTTAAAAAAAAAAAAAACAAAAAAAAAAAAACAGATTGACATATCTTCTGCTAGCCATATCAGGGCTCTGTGGAGGAATACTCCCCATCTGAAGGATGTCTGGACACTGGATGAGCTAATGGTCAGGAAGGAGAGAACATGAAAGTTGCCTGCAGAAACCATCCTTCAGGAAACAAGACCTGCAACCCTCCTCTCCGCCCCCACCCCAGCTAACAGAGGCTTTGGGAGTTTTGTGACCTGTTGTTCCAGATGCTTTCAAAAAGGTCCAGGGACTCCCTCAGCCTGTTGGTGTTGTTGTCCTCCCGGATGACCATGTTGTAGCTGCTACAGGCGGCCACGTAAATGATGGCGGTGACATCTGAATTGGAGATGGAGACAGGAAACACCCTGGTGAGATGGGAGTTGAGCAAGTCTCCAACATTACTCTGCAGTGACATGAACACAATGAGGAGCTCCCCTCTCCACCAAACCACTATGGGTTTGTGGTGCTTTGTGTATGGGATTCCAACCCGTGTTCTCAACGTTGTGATTATTCAAGGGAATTGACCTGGGTCCCAAGTTACTGTAAATGATGCAACCTGAGTTATACAGGGAGTCTCTCTATATAACACGATGGGACAGGTTTAGGAAGGGGCGTTGGTAATCTTCCATCAGTTGCATTGCTCCGCACACTAGTTGAGCTAGAGAAGGCCAAATTCAAAACTGGGCAGACCCAGGAGCAGTGTGAGTGTGAGCGATCACCCCTGTGGTCCTAAGGGCATCAGATCACCATTGAAGCACTGGATCCATTTTCTCCTCTCATCCCGCTGGCCACCGACATCAAACATGCTGTGGAAGAGTGAAAGGGAGATGGTTATGCGAACCCATCACACGTGGCTCCATTTTTTCCCTGGGCCTCAAATCTCAGTCCTGTGCAATCTTGGGCTCCAGGTGTTACAGCTCCCCCCACACTCTACCCCTTCTCTGTCATCTTATAGGGTGCAGGTGTGACAGAAGTTGTCTGAGACACACAGTGGGCACCCAAGGCATGTGCCATGTCTGGCTCAGGTAATGGGAACATCTCTGAGTTCAACACAGGTCTCCAGTGGGGGCAGCGTGAAGGCCATGCCTCACTCCAGTTTTCAGGTCTCTGTACCTGATCTCTAGTGACTCAGGCACCTAGTCCCTTATGGAACTGGTCTCACGGCCCGTCTGCATCCACACACCTCCCTGGGGTGCTGCAATGGGTTCTTCTTGTCTTCCCAATTTGGGAAAGACCTCTGGGCTCCAGCTTCAGGTTCCCCCAATCTTGCACAGCCAACGTGGCCATGCCCAGGTTTCCCATGGACTTCTTTGACTCAACAAGCTGGTTCCAGTCCCTCTTTTCATAGCTGCATGTACCCCCTTCCTGGGCCATCTGCCCTTAGGGGGATTCTGCATCTACCTGCACTCCCTTCACCAGGCCTCTGAGCTCCCATGTATGCAACCCACAAGCCCCAAGGTCTCTATTGACTTATTTTCAGGCTTTGCATCAATGCATAGAGGACAACTGCCAGGGACTGTGTGTGACGTGTGGTGTGTTTAGCGAATGCTTTAAAGAACACTTTTCATTCCCATCCACTGGTTGACTTCCCAAATGCTGGAAATAGCTGGTGGCAGAATCTAGGAGTTACCAAAGTCAAAGCCAGGGTCTCTGACATAGGCGGACGGAGAGATGTCCTAGCTGGCATCTCAACTACAAGGCTCAGTGCCCATCTTTGTGAATGCTTGGAAAACACCACGGCTCTTGAGGGCATTTGATAGGCAGACCAGGATGTGGCATGCCTGTCTCATCCTTAAAAAAAATAAATAAATAAAAATAAAAATTTAAAAGGCCAATGAAATGGAGAGCTAGCAGGGACACTGTGGTTTCTATTCAGGCCCTCATTTCCACTTTAGCGATGAGTGATAAAAAAAAAAAAAACAGCCTCTAGAATCTTCCCATCTGGAGAGGCCCATGACAACCTTGCCAGAACTAGGCTCCCCCACCCCTCAAGGCTCTGCCCCCGCCCCTTCAAGGCTCTGGGCCCACCATCTCTGCCAGCGGGCCATGCTCTGAAGTGTACACTTACTGAAAGTTCACTTTGTCCACTTGGAATCGTGTCTCGAAGATCCCCGAGGTTAGAACTCTGCATCTGAGGAGGTCCTGGGGGCCAGAAGAGGGAAACGAACTGAGTTAGATCCTCAGCCTTCGTGTGTGTGTGTGTGTGTGTGTGTGTGTGTGTGTGTGTGTGTGTGTGTGTGTGTGTGTTGGGGAAGCCACACAGGCTTTGCATTTTGTCAAATGATACTGTCTTCCCTTGTAAGGAAAAACAAACAACGGGAATCCTCCATCATCATCACCATCCTCTTCCTCCTCCTCCCCATCATCATCATCAAAGAATGCATCTTGCTGTCAGCTGCCTGACAGCTGACTCACAGTGCCTAGTATTCTGGGGTGAGGACCTGCGAAGGGCTGGGAAGCAAGGCTCACTCAGAACACACCTGACTGCACTAAGCAGTTGCTGCTCTCCCGGACTGGTAGCTGTGGATTTTAACTTTTCCTGCCTCTCCTCTGCCTCTTGTGGTTCTCTCTGGAATTGAAGATGTGACTGCTCCCAGGGGATGAGGAAGCCACAAATCTGACACCTTGGGCATCTGGGACAGGTGTCAGATTCCCCCCTCCTCCCACGCCAATCGAATGCTTTAATGGTGTCCACCACGCAGCCACACAGTTATAATCCTGGAAGGCAAGGGGAAGTCCTCTTCTCTGCGTTAATGTGAGCATAATAAGTGCCGGGGACACCCATAATGGATCAAGGAAGCTACCACGGCTGGCATAGCATCCTCCAAGGGGTGCATCCTGGAAACATTTGTTGGGGGTGAGTGGGTTGGGTGAGACATCCGAGCTCAGCAGCTCCCTCTCTGCTCCGTATAAATGTGAAATTGGGGGTGGGGGGGTTGGCTTCACAGTGACTCAGCCTAGTCACTCTAGGGCACCCCAGAAAGTGGCTTGCATGTTCCATGGGGGGCCAGCACTGAGACCAGATGCAGAATGGGCATGGTTCATGCAGCTGGGGAAGGCTCAGCTTTCCAGTGGGCAGTTCCCACAGGCCATGGGCACCACGTATTCCCAGGCTGCACGTAACGGACTTTTCAAGTTAGCGACTCACAGGCTTAGACAGTGTCAGACACCGGCAGGGAGCTGACATGCTCCGGACACACGTGGGGTATGGCAGCGACTTGCAGGCTTTTTAGCAATGGCTGAATCAAACTGTAAGTCACTGTGTTTCCAAAGAGTGGGGCAAGCTCTGACTGCCCTTACCTGGTCCGTGGGTGTGTAGTCAACCAGACTGACGCTGTCGATCCGTTCCAGGAAGCTGCAGAGAGAGCAGCGCAAGTTCAGAAAGCTCCTGTGATTCTTTTCTCTCCAGGCAGGACAAGCGCTGGGTCATTGCCACAAGCTCAGTGTGCATAGAGACTTCCTGCTTTCTGTCTGCTGAGTGCGCATCTGTCTCTGCTTGGCACCCCACCGCCGGCTGAGGCCAGAGGCCTGCACTGCTGTTCATGCGTGCAAACCTATGCACAAGTGCATCTCATGTGTGCCTTGCTGCTGGCCTACTCTTACTGGCCTGGGATTGGGGGGGGTTAATGAGAATTGTGAACAAGGGCTGGGGGGGGGGGGCTCCCGGAGCAAGAAAACCACATGGGGTCTGTTAGCCAAAGTTCCTAATAAGGACCAAGCGTTGCCTTGTGTGTGTGTGTGTGTGTGTGTGTGTGTGTGTGTGTGTGACTGTATGAGGGGATGGCTGTATGTGTGTCTCTGTGGTAGTGCACATAGCTGTGTGACTGTGGGAGGGTACAGCTGCATGTGTGTGGAGTGGCTGTGTGAGAGTGAGCTGTATGTTGGCACACCTGCTCAGGCTGCCAGAGTATGTCCCATCCGTCTGATCTGTGCCACATAACCCAGGGTTGGAGAAGCAAGAAGAGCATGGGACAGATGAAGTAACATGGGGTTCTCTCTTCTCAGAGGCTACAGGCATGGCTCTCCCTCCTGCAGGAGGCCACGAAGGATACTGTTCCTGGCCTCCTGGGAGGCCCTCCTTGCCCACCTGTCTCAAACAGGAGCTCTGATGCCTGGGCCCCAGGGTGGGAGGCAGCTGTGTATTCTCTCGGCCTACAGGTCCCCTTCACAGCACATCATTCTCCACACACCTGCCGCATGGCCTGCCAGTCCTCCTGAGGGTCTGGTGGGGCTCAGGTGGGAGGTGGCATTTCCATAGCCTCCATCCCTGCGTCATGGCTCTGGTCTAACACCTGCCCTCGACCTGCACCAAGAGCCACCTCCGTGGCAGGTGAACCGTCAACAGAATGAGCTGATGGACAACTATGGAGTCTCCATGTTGGGGACAGGAAGTGGTGGTGGTGGGGGGGGCCTCAGTAGGCAGGAGTGAGGTCAGCTCAGCTCGGAGAGATGGGAAGGCTCCAAAAGCTGGCGAGGGTGACTGCTTTGGTCTGATGTGTTCCGTGGGTCACAAAGGACCTTCTGATGGAGCAGACACCGTAAGCCCTGGCAGGTGCCAATGTTTCAACCTAAAGGTGGGTGAAGGGTCTGGGGTGAGGATTTGGCTTCGAGCAGGAGGTGGAAGAGGGAGACCTCGGAGTCTCTGATGAAGGCAGATCTCTGCAGTAGCAGCAGGAAGGGAGCTTTGGTGGATAGCCCTGACCCAGGTGTGACAAAGTGCTTCTCTGTGCTCAGAGATGGCCCCGCCCCTGGACCATACACACGCGGCACCAGGCAGGTGGGGCGGGAACAAGTCAGGCCTGAGGCGGAAGGCCGGATGGAACTAATAATTGAGTATGAAGTTTAGGGCTATAGTTAGAATTTAGGAAGTAACCAATTTATCCCACAGTGCACATAGGGTGGAGGTAGGTGGGCGGATTTATTCATATGGTAATAATGGTGGAAAGAATGAGGGCTGGTACATGATTAAATGCTGCCTTCCAAAGGAACTGGTGGGAGTCCCTTTTTGCAGGCTATCAAAGAGAAGTGACTCTGAGATATGCTGACAAGGAGAGGTGGCAGCTTCTCCCCGCCCCTCCAATCAGCTCTGACAGTTACTTCCACGGCCTCTGAGACATGTGGGGGGCCACAGGGAGCATTTCCAAGGGAGTTTCTGGAAGGCCACTGATGCCGTAGTTGCTGAGCTTCACGGAGTTGTGCTGTGCAATAACATGCGAAAATTCATCGTTCAACGTCAGTGTGCCCTCACCGCCCAGTTCTGTCAACAGAACTGAGAATAGAGAATGGGGTGGCAAGGATGGGCGTGTGGCCTGGTGGTTAGGCAAGGGTGGGTGTTTGGCTGCTGTCCTATAGTGGAATGCCTGCGTCTGGGTTCCAGCTTCAGCTTTCAGTTCTGGCTTCCTGCTGGTGTAGGTCTCCAAGAACGCAGCAGGTGATGGTCATGTGCTTGGGTTCCTGGGGCTTCCACAGGGGACTCGGTTTGAATCCTCACTCCTGGCTTCAGCCCGGCCTGTCCTCAGTCATTTAGGACAGACACACGGGAGCTCTTCAAATAAGAAAACAAAGAGAGGGACCCATGCCTTGGTGTAGCACATTAAGACTCTGACTGCAACATGGGCGTCCCACATGGAAACCGGTTCAAGTTCTAGCTGTTTCACTTCTGACTCAGCTCCCTGCTAATGGCCTGGGAAAGCCACGGAGGGTGACCCAGGTGCTTGGGCCACTGCACTCATGTGGGAGACCTGGAAGAAGCTCCTGTTGCCTGGCTTAGGACTGTGGCCAAGTTCTAGCTATTTCAGTCATTTGGACTGTGAGCCAGGAGATGGGACAGATGTGCCTGTCTCTTCTTCTCTCTCTGTAAATATGATTTTCCAGTAAAAAGAAAATCATTCTAAAAAACTAGAACCTAACTTCCCGGCAGCTGCCTTTAGCAAGACCAAAGAAGAGCAACAGACAGGGGGTCAGCTGAGTTCTCCTGTTGCTTTGGGTTTTGAGTCTTAGCAGAACAGCAAGGAAGCAGCAATGCGGCCTGAGTTTTCAGTTTATCATGAGACTAGAAGTTAGCAGTTGCATGGAAGATGGAAAAGGCCTTCTGATGCTTCTGCTCTGAGCAAGCTGTGCAGGATTATAATTCTGGTTCTCTGAATTGTGTGTCCTCACCTCTGTCAGCTGCTGCTCTGTTTTCACCACTCGCTGGCTCCACTGCGCCTTTTTTTTTTTTTTAAGGATATATTTTATTTTTATTGGAAAGTAAGATACACAGAGAGGAAGATCTTCTGTCCCCAAGCGGCTGCAACGGTCAGAACTGAGTCGATCCAAAGCTAGGAGCCAGGAACTTCTTTCAGGTCTCCTACGCGGGTGCAGGGTCCCAAGGCTTTGGGCTGTCCTCGACTGCTTTCCCAGGCCACAAGCAGGGAGCTGGATGGGAAGCAGGGCTGCCAGAACACGAACGGGCACCCATATGGGATCCTGGCACGTGCAAGGTGAGGACTTTAATTGCTAGGCTACAGCGTCGGGTCCTCCACTGTGCATTTTTAAGACTCCATTTCAACCAGCTTTTGGTGTCTTCCTCTTTTGGAGCTGCCTCCTAACTACTGCAGCAAGAGATTAAAATCTTCCATAAGTCTTGCTTTGCTGACTTGTCTGCATGGAGATACTCCTTTCACATAAGACAAGAACCAAGGCAATCTCTGTCTTTCGCATCGATTTCCCCTTAACAGTGGTACATTTAGGCCAGCCTTACACCTGGATTTTTGGTTCAAACTGACATATTTTCAAATATGTTGTAGAAGTGCTTCTTCAAACGGAGTCTCCTGAGACTGTGTATCTGAAAATGGGGTTTAATCAGGGAGTCTTCCAAAGCATACACAGAATTTTGCATATGATTACATGTTCAAGCAGATTTAAGAACGACAAATATGGCCAAACCTTGTCAAACTGTATGGGGGCCATTTTAGCTCTCGGTGGTTCCACTTTTTTTTTTTTAAATATTTATTTATTTTTATTACAAAGACAGATATACAGAGAGGAGGAGAGACAAAGAGGAAGATCTTCCGTCCGATGATTCACTCCCCAAGTGAGCGCAACGGCCAGTGCTGCGCCGATCCAAAGCCAGGAGCCAGGAACTTCCTCCAGGTCTCCCACATGCGGGTGCCCGGTCCCAAAGCTTTGGGTCGTGCTGTACTGCTTTCTCAGGCCACAAGCAGGGAGCTGGATGGGAAGTGGAGCTGCTGGGATTAGAACTGGCACCCATATGGGATCCCGGGCACATTCAAGGTGAGGACTTTAGCCGCTAGGCCATGGCGCCAGCCCGGTGGTTCCACTTTCGATCCAACTCCCCGTTACTGTGCCTAGGAAAAGCAGCAGAAGATGGTGCAAGTGTGTAGGCCCCGGTGCCCGCATGGCTGCTGTTGGATTGGCCTAGTTCTGGTCATTGTGGCCACCGGGGGTGGGTATGAACCAGTGGATGGAAGATCTCTCCCTCCATTTCTCTCTCTCTGCTTCTCAAATGAATGAACAAATGTTTTTAAAGAAAATCATCAATAACACCAAACTACACTAATTACAAACTACAGTACTGGGAGAGCAATTTTGATGTTGACTTTTTCGTTCTGTCCTACCATAGCTGACGATGCTCTTACCTGCAGATACAGTTTTTTTTTTTTTTCCCTTTCTAAAAGCACATCTGCAAGGCACGGTGACAGAGATGGAGACAGGAGTCTGGGGGGGATACGTAGGTAGCTAGCTTGTTCACGGGTTGGAAGCCATATCTGAATCCTACTCAACCACCTACCAACCAAATGCTTTTGGCAGGAAGTACTTCCCCATCTGGGACCTGGGGTGGTCTGGGCATGGGGAGTGTCTCCTCCCATCCCTGTTCTTGGCACACACAGAGGATACAAGGTAGAAACATCTCTCTCAGGCCCGGCGCCATGGCCTATCGGCTAAAGTCTTCGCCTTGAATGCCCCGGGATCCCATATGGGCGCCGGTTCTAATCCTCGCAGCTCTACTTCCCATCCGGCTCCCTGCTTGTGGCCTGGGAAATCAGTCGAGGACGGCCCAAAGCCTTGGGACCCTGCACCCACGTGGGAGACCTGGAGGAAGTTCCTGGCTCCTGGCTTCGGATCGGCGCAGCACCGGACGTTGCGCTCACTTGGGGAGTGAATCATTGGACGGATGATCTTCCTTTCTGTTCCTCCTCCTGTCTGTATATCTGTCTTTGTAATAAAAATAAATAAATCTTAAAAAAAAAACAAAACGCTCTCCCCAGCCCACTGGATTCCTGCGCGTGCCCCACAGGTATCCATGATTTTGTCATCTTTTAAATAAATGTTATCACTTTGTAAGCTATATTTGTGCCTGTCCTTAGTGTGCTTTTTAAGAGGCAAAAAGCTCAGAAAAGGAATATTAACCTCAACATAGCCCATAACATGAGAGATATCTCATCTGCTGGTTTACTCACTAAATACCCAGAAACAGCCAGGAGTGGGCCAGGTTGAAGCCAGGAGCTGTGAATTCCACCTGGGCCTCCCTTACGGGTGGGAGGAACCCAATAGTTTGGCTGTCATTCTTTGCCTCCCAGACATGCTAACAGGAAGCTGGATTCCACGTGGAGGCAGAAGAGGTAGGACTTGAACCAGGCACTCTGATGTGGAATGAGCTATCTCAAGTGATGTCTTAATCAGCTGTGCTACGACTCCTGTCCTGAAGACACGTTCGTATTTTCATAGTTCAGGTCCCACTTCTGTTTGCTATTGACAAAACAATCAACAAAACAATGCTTTATTTATTTATTTTAAATCCCATTTCATGGCCTAGCTGATAAAGTCCTCACCATGAACGCGCCCAGGGACCCCATATGGGTGCCAGTTCTAATCCCGGCAGCTCCACTTCCCATCCAGCTCCCTGCCTGTGGCCTGGGAAGGCAGTCGAGGACGGCCCAAGGCTTTGGGACCCTGCACCCCTGTGGGAGACCTGGAGGAAGTTCCTGGCTCCTGGCTTTGGATCGGCGCAGCACTGGCCGTTGTGCTCACTTGGGGAGTGAATCATCGGACGGAAGATCTTGCTCTCTGTCTCTTCTCCTCTCTGTATATCTGATTTTCCAAATAAATAAATAAATCTTAAAAAAAATCCCATTTCTTATCTTTCTCCCCGCTAAAATGATCCAAAGTCATAGAATTCTGATGGTCTTTGGATTGGCCACAAAGAGGGGATTTCAGGAGAGTCAGGAAAAGATGAAAACAATTTTGCCAAATGCCTTAATAATGAAACTTCCGGATCTGAGGATACACGACTACATTTAATTGAGAAATGTACTTGGTTTGTATTGTGAAACTACACAGCAAGTCAGAATTCTGTCAGGCAAGCAAAATATTTTTTCTCAATGTGCTACTGAAATTAATTCATGATACTCACCCACAAGATATAAAAGTGCTGGTGGAGAAAAACAGTACCCATATGGTGATGAAGCATATTACAGATAGAATTAAAAGATGTTCATTTTGGTGCATATTTTGAAATACATGCATTTTTTTCCCAGAAATACATTTTTCATAAGCTCTCAGAAGATGCTTATATGCATGGGTTTTGGATTTGCTTGTTGAAGTAAACTCAATTTCCATGAACTTTTTGCATTCTCTTTCACCAAGCTGTTTTAATGTGCAGCTAGGGTCCCTGGTCTAGGAACAATCACACTGGCTACAGGTCCCAGGCAGCTGAGTGGATGCCAGGAAGTTGACCAGCAGTTTGAAGCCCTGACCACTCCCCGTGGTGGGGATTCTGTGTGCAATCCTTGATGCTGCACCTGCTTCCCTCCTCAGGTGAATTCTGTCCTTTCAGCCCAGCTGCCACACCCCTTGCCACCTGTCCAGTGGTGTCCTTTTATGTCCAATCACCTCTCCATTCCTGACCAGTCTCTGTGACCTCTCAGATCCCCCGTTTCCTCTCAAAGTTAAGCTTGTCCCACAGCCGCTCTTAGCAGCCATGTCGACCAGCCGTGTCCCCGACGCTGCTTTCAGGCAAGCTGCCTGATCCTGTGATTAATCCCCTTCTCAAATGATGAGATACAAAATGCAATAAAGTGCACCCAGTGTACTTTTGTGTTCTTTTGGCAGATGTTTAGTTTGAATACATCCATATCCATTTTCTTTTTATGTGTATGCCCTATCGTATCTACCTCACTGATTTGTTGAATGTCATCTAAGAGCAAAGTTTTTTTTTCTTTCGTTCTTTAAAAATTTCTAGAAAAGGGCAAGGCGCAATAGTGACTAAAGTCCTCGCCTTGAATGCACTGGGATCCCATATCGTCGCTAGTTCTAATCCTGGCAGCTCCACTTCCCATCCAGCTCCAAGCCTGTGACCTGGGAAAGCAGTTGAGGACAGCCCCAAAGCCTTGGGACCCTGTACCCGCGTGGGAGACCCGGAAGAAGCTCCTGGATCCTGGCTTTGGATTGGCTCAGTTCCAGCCGTTGTGGCCACTTGGGGAGTGAACCATCTTCCTCTCTGCCTCTCCTCTCTGTATATCTGGTTTTGTAATAAAAATAAATACATTTAAAAAAAATTTTCTAGAAAGAAGCTCCACGGAGCTGGCACTTTATATATTCCTGTCTCAATCGCTCACTGTATCCATTCTGAATAAACACACACCGTCAAGCTATTTGTGCTCCCACCATTCACACAAACTTGGGGCAAATGTAGAAGGACATTATGACCCTGGAAGGTCAGCGAGCACAGGATTACAACTGATTGGATAGTATTTGTATGAGAACAACTGAGTAGACACCTTTTGTATACCTGATTGGATATCATTTGTATGAGAACAGTTGAGTGACAGCATGTGAATGAGAACACTTGGTGGAATATACAAAAGGAGTTCAAACAAAAGTATAGAAACAGTTGATGGGTGTTGTTGATAAGCTCAATACTTCCTCCCTTATCCCATATGATCCTCAGTGTATAAAGTCTGATGCCACTAATAAACTTTCGCTTTCGACCATCAGTCAGAGTCCACGCGTGTTATTATCGGCTCCGTGCACCAAGTCCATCACTGCAGGACAGCAACAGGCCGACATTTGGGCAGCTGCTGTAAGGCACCCATCCTTGGGGAACTCATAGCCCTGGCTTTCCTTTCCTGTGCCCCTTGTCATGCTGTAAGCAGCATGCCAGCAGCAGCCCACGGGGTTCTGTACCAGCCGTAGGAATCCAGACCAAAACAGCCACTGGTCTGACTCTTAAAGGAACTTAGCACACCTGGGCAAATGAAGCCAACAGTTTGCTAATTCCAGTCAGTTAATCTGTAAAACAAAATTACAAGGGTCTGCTCAGCCTTTTGCTGTCAGGCCTGGGATTTAGCTTACCTGGGTATGGTGTATATTGCACACAAAATTTGCACTAGTGGGGCTGGCTGGCCGATTTCTGTACTATACTCAGTTAATAAGGCTGCCTGCCAGTGCTTATCTTAGGAATTTTTTTCCCCCTCAGGCAGCAGGATAGACTGTGGCTGAGCCTGGGAAGGGCAAGCTCTCACAAGAGCCTTCCAACGGTGTGGGGGGGAAAGAGTTAAATCCTCGCACTAGTCCACTCAGGTTCTCCCACATCAGTTCTAACTACATGCTAGACATGGCGCCTTTGAAGGTCGACAAACAAAGGCAGATCTATGGCTGAAAGCAGTGCTAGCACTTGCATGGAACATGGAATCATTTCCTGTTCGGAGCTGGAGCCTTTCTGGGCACCTTCCCTATGTCTTTGACCTTGGAGAATTTCAGCAACAAAACTTGTCATGAAGAAACAATTACATTTAAGGAAGTAACAGGCATGGCTTCAAGAAACAGGCCTCAACATGCCATGCCAACCAAACACACACTGGTGGTGAGACCTGAGTGCCGACTTGGAAAGACACACGATGCTTTCCAAGCTCAATCTGGCTCTGAATTCTTAAATAGGAGGCACGCGCATTCACAGTAAAGCTTAGAATTATTTATTTATTTGATAAATTTATATGATTTACATTTCAGTGTTTTATCAACTCCAGAAGTGAGGAAATAATTCATGGGGCCGTAGTGCCTTTGAAAATAACCTTTATGATTCATAAAAATGTACATCCATATAGTATGAAGTGAACATTTTTAAGAAAGTCTGAGCATATACAAGTATCGTTTAATCTCACAAAATATATTTTGTTGGGAATATTTGCATTAGAAAAGGGATTTAAAATTTGCCAAAGGTGTCGCCACTCAGCTGTTTCTGAGGCTTGTTGCGAATTTACAGTCTAGAGGTGGGGTGCTGGCTCCTGCCCCTCTCCTTCAATGCAACCTGCGTGCGAGCAGACACTCGGCCTTCTAGAGAGAGGATGCTGGGCCCGTGACCAACGGGTGGCCCTTCCAGCACACGGACTAGCCTCCAGTCAGAGGTCCCCAGAGGTTGTCCTCCTCAGCATACAGATCACCTTTTTATTTTCCTGAACACTCACCCACACGGGAAGACATGTTACAATGGTGAACACCTGGTTATTATGGATGTTTCAAAGAATGTGGAACAGTCTATAATTCTTTTCTAGAACATGTAATTCTCCTGTAGAGAAATCTTCCTGTGAAGGAAAGGACGAAGTTACTATGCGTCCTTGGTGAGGTGAATGGCCACGTTTTGAGGGGGTGGGGAGAAAGTGGGGCCTACACACGCACTGCCTGTGCCTGTTAAGACACACAGTGCCAGAGCTGGGTCTCTTTCCATCTCTGTCCTTCCAACTCCATCTTATCCTTTCTTCCCAGACTTCCGGCTGGCTAGAGTCATATGCGAGATCTCAAAAGCTGGAGAAAACATTTCAAACTGCATTATCAAGTATCCTAAATAATTGTTGCTTTAAGAAAAAAAAAAAAGCAAATAATTAGAACCTAAAATGCAGTTCTAATTTTATTTCTGCTTTTGGTTAAAGAAACCCAAACAAAACCTACACACACACAAGCACGCACGCACGCACAGAGTCCCAAGGGTTTCCGGAAGCAATTGACAATCACCAGTTCTTTGGCAATGCTAGAATGAGTCATATGACTGCCATGCTAATTAACACAGTCTGTTAAGACTCAGGTGTGAGCCAGAAAAATAACCAGCAAGGTGCTGAGAGGGTTGCTTGAAGCGAAACTGTCCAACCTTAAGCCTTCTGTCTGTTAAAAAAAAAAAAAAAAAAACCAACGGGTAAATAGAAAGTGCACCCTAACTGTTCCTGACCCCCGAGGCTCGGTGGCATTTCCTCAAGCTATGAGAAGTGAACAGAACTTAGGCAGCACCAGAGCGTTAATGCGCAAGAATTCTCCGATCATTTTAGTATAAGTTCTGAGAACAGACCAATAGTCAATTGCAGTGCTGTTCCGAGGGGCAAGCAAAATGAAGGATACACAGAAACCTACAGTCACTGAGTCACTGCCCCACGAGGCATGAAAGGAACCACCCATTCCCCTTCCGGAGTTGTTCAGGCGGCATCTCCCAACCCAGACAGTACCGCTTACACTGAACACACGGAAACCAGAGCGTTGTTCGATTTCCAACGATCTGTAAACACCAAATTAGCTAGTCGTTAGAAGGCGGCTATAAAAATACACATCGTCGTCACAAGCTATACAGAACTTTAAACTCCAGCTGGGAGTGGCGAGAGGCTGGCGTTCCCAGCGCAGGTAAAGAGGGCCGCGGACCCCAAGGGACAAGCGCCTTGGGCACTGAGGGGCACGGGCTGCGGAGGCCGAGGACCCCCAGGGGCAAGGGCCGAGGACCCCCAGGATCAGGGGCCGCCGACTCCCCCAGGGGCACTGGCCGAGGACCCCCAGGGGCACGGGCCGCCGACTCCCCCAGGGGCAAGGGCCACCGACTCCCCCAGGGGCACTGGCGGAGGACCCCCGGGGCACGGGCCGCCGACTCCCCCAGGGCCACGGGCCTCGGCGTCCGGTCCGCCCCGCTGCCCCCACCGCGTCCCTCACACCTGGTCCCGGAGGCGAGCCAGTCTCTGCGACAGCTCGTCCTGCTCGGCCGACGCCACGCTCGTGCCCACCGAGCCCGTCTGCCCCTGCGGCAGCTCCATGTTGAGGTCGAGGCCGGCCTCGTCGGCCATTTCCTGGAGCAGCAGATCCACCTGGTTCTGGGGAGTGGTCAGCGTCGTCGTGCTGCTCATCGTGTCTTCCATCTGCTGCGTCTGCACGTCCAGCGTCTCGAACTGGTGCTCGAACTTGTCCATCAGGGCCGAGATCTTCTCGAGGTTCATGGTCTTGAGCGTCGCGTCCATGGACTTCACCACGCCGGCCATCGACTTGGTCACCTTGCCCATCGTCACGGCCGTCTGCACCCTGGCAGCCACCGCGTCGACCCTCGCGCTCATCCTCAGGAAATTCACCGCCTGGTTCTTCTGGCGGATGGCGTTCTCGGCGTGGATCCTCGCCACTTCCATGTTGCCCTTCTGGATGGCCTTTTTAATTTTGGCCTTCTCGGCCTTCTCCTCCTTGTCGCATTTCTTGGCGCTCCGGCTCAGTTCTTTGGCCGCAAACTTGAGGTTGAACAGGTGTTTCTCCATGTTGGACATGATCGCAACCGCTCCCGCGGGGTCGGCGGCCACGGCCGGGCGCGGAACCGGGACGAGAAGACGCAGCTCGCCTCCCGGCCGCCGCTCCTTTGTTTTGGTCCCACTTCCTGCTTCTGCTGCGCCCGGCGCAGGCGGTGACGTCAGAACGCGGCGCCGGGGCGGGGCCTGCGTGGCGGAAGGCGGCGCCGCCGGGGCGGGCTAGGGCGCGGCGCGCGCGGCCGCCGGTTCGAGTCCGGCACCGTGGCCGAGGCGAGGAGTCGGTCACTGCGCCGGTCATGGCAGCGGTGCCGCGGCTGCTGGGCTCGGCCACCAACAAGCGTGGCCGGGAGCTCTCCAGGAATCGTGATTCTGATGTTTTATACGCATGCTAGGATCTTGACTCACACTCGTGACAGGCGGGGCTTGTCACCCCCAGGTTCTGCAGGCTGAGGGGGTGGAGACCGTCGGAACTCTGTGTAAACCCTTTTAGGGCTCCATCTTCCCTGGCGGCAGTGTGAGCTGCAGGTCTTGGGGAAGATTCCTCCAGAACGGAAGGAACGAACTGGAAGAAGGCTCAGTGTGCCCTAAGAAGCTTGGCTGACATCATTGCTGAGAGCCACCTGTGCTTGCAGATCAAACCCAACCCAGAGTGGCACCCTGCCCTGGGTTCCTGCCTGTGGCAGCTTGCTCCTCGGCCCATTCAGATTTACAGAAAGGACAGACCAAGATTTTCAGGTCGCCAGTTCACTCCCAAAATGCTGCGATGGCCAGAGCTGGGTTAGTCTGAGCTGGAAGCCGGGAGCTTCTGGGTCTCCCGTACCGGTGCAGGGTCCCATGGACCAGAGCCATACTCTGCTGCTTTTCCGAGGTCGTAAGGAGAGGGCTGGATTGAAGGTGGAGCAGCTGGTACTGGAACCAGCACCCATATAGGATGCTGGTGCTTGCAGGTGGAAGGTTAGTCTGGGGAGCCATCATGCTGGCTGCACCCCACACCACTTTTTTTTTAAGATTTACTTATTTTTTTTTTTTTTTTATTGGAAAGGCAGATTTACACAGAGGAGGAGAGACACATAAAGAGCTCTGTCTGCTGGTTCACTGGCCAAGTGGTCACAACGGCTGGAGCTGAGACGATCCAAAGCCAGGACCCAGGAGCCTCTTCCGGGTCTCCCACACAGGATTTAGCCACTAGGCTATGGCGCTGGGCCCACCCCATGCATCTTCTTAAAACCAACTCTAAAGATGTGATTTTCTTGCTGCTCTCCCTAAGGGAGTGTGCAGAATTTCTGCCCGCTGGCTTTCAGTCAAAGTGGGTTGCAGTGTCAGCATGGTAGCCTAGTGACTAAAGTCTTCGCCTTGAACGTGCTGGGATCCCTGATGGGAGCCGGTTCTAATCCCGGCAGCTCCACTTCCCATCCAGCTCCCTGCTTGTGGCCTGGGAAAGCAGTTGAGGACGGCCCAAAGCCTTGGGACCCTGCACCCACGTGGGAGACCCGGAAGAAGTTCCTGGCTCCTGGCTTCAGATCGGCATAGCACCGGTCATTGTGGCCACTTGGGGAGTGAATCATTGGACACAAGATCTTCCTCTCTGTCTCTCCTCCTCTCTGTAATCTGCCTTTCCAATAAAAAGAAGTCTTAAAAAAAGAAAAACAAAGTGGGCTGAAGCACGGAAGGTGCTCGTTATTTGTGAGGAGGGGCAGGGTGGGAACTCTGTGAATGTGGCTCCGGCTGCCAGCATCTGCTGTCCACAGCGTCTCTGCCTGTTGAGGTCCTCCCGTCCTGCTCCATGGAGCCTTGCCAAGCCCCTGTCCTGGGGCTGCAGCTGTGTTCCCTGTGGGGGGCAGTCATAGCCCAGGGCGCATGCCTGGCATGGGATCCGGGGTAGAAGCAGGCAGCACAGTCGCACTTGGCAGGTGCTCTTCCACACAGCAAGGCTTTACTGTAACACAGGGTGAGGCTCTCATCCTCCCTAGCAGCAGCCTCGCCAGGATTCCTTTTGTCTCTCCTTTGCTAAACAATAAGACCCTATTTTCCAAATGGAACTTTTCTAGAATGGGGCGTGCAAAATCAATAAAAAAGAATGCCATCTGTTTGAAGCTGAAGCAGGGGGCTCAGAACCAACCCTTTCTCTCCCCCTTTGGGGCCTTCTTTGGCTTTTTTTTTTTTTTTCCCCAGTTTGCAGATCAGTTCTTTGGTTCACATTCCTTAGTTGTCACAGGGCCAAGTGCCAGTTAGGTGAGCTTCTTCGGGACATAATCATGAGACCCTCGGATGGTGACCAGATTGTCATGCACATTTATTAAGCATTTCTGTACCAGGGCTGGTTCTGGGAACTTTGCATGAATGAACTCATTTTATCCTTACCAACCCTGTGACATGGATCTTGTGGCAACTTCAATTCACAGGCCGGGAAACAGGAAGCAATGAACTTGCCCAGGGGCAACAACATACATCTGTGTTAGAAATTATATTCCATGGGGCCCGGCGGCGTGGCCTAGCGGATAAAGTCCTCGCCTTGAATGCACCCGGAATCTCATATGGGCACCGGTTCTAATCCCAGCAGCTCCACTTCCCATCCAGCTCCCTGCTTGTGGTCTGGGAAGGCAGTTGAGGACGGCCCAAAGCTTTGGGATCCTGCACACACGTGTGGGAGACGTGGAGGAGGTTCCTGGCTCCTGGCTTCGGATCGGCACAGCACTGGCCGTTGCGCTCACTTGGGGGAGTGAATCATTGGACGGAAGATCTTCCTCTCTATCTCTCCTCCTCCCTGTATATCTGGCTTTGTCATAAAAATAAATCTTAAAAAAAAATTATATTCCATGGATTTCTTGGAGACTAGTAAAGAAGCCAAGGGGAATTCCAATAAGAAGTTAGCAGGAATGCTGAAGGATGATCCCCTGAGACTTCAAAGCAGCGTCTGGCGCATCCACTGTTCCACTGAGAGCTTGGAGAGGCTGCAGGAGCTCAAGAGCGGTCGCCAGGAGAAGCCACCCTCACTGGAGCTACCGAGGTTAGACGAAGCCCTTCCTCTCCCGCCTGGACAGACAGAAGAGGGCGGAGTCTGAGGAGACGTGTCTTAGGGCAGGCTGGAATGCAGGACAGTGGGCTGACCTTGCCTCTCATGGTGCCCCTGCTCTCCTTGCACTTGCTGAAGCAGTGACCGAGTCCCGCTGCCCACGATCCCCGCACACCCTCCCCACTCATCTTCGCCTGCCAACCCCAGCCATCCCCATGGTGCCCAGCGGGATGTAGAGCTATTGATGCTTACTTTCCCATTTAGACAAGTTTCTCTTCTGAGCTCCCCGCTCAGGCATCCAGTGTCTCTTTGACATGGGGTAAAACGTCTGAAACCCATTCCTCAACTCCTCCAAGTGACTGGATGCAATTCTGCCCGTCCCCACTTCCTCCCCCTAGGGCTCACCTGGAGAGGGGGGTCCAGGTCAGTTTCTGAGACGTTACCCTTGATGACCCCCTCTCACCTGTCTCTGTCTGTCCCTTGCCCGGTCTTTTAAGTTCCCCTTTCCTTACAATCCACTTTCAGCATCACTTCGGGGTGGGTGCTTTCTCTCCCGTGGCTCAAGCACAAGGAAAAGCTTTCGGGGTGATTATCAAGAGACGTTGCTCTCGTGGCCATTTTGATCACACCTGAGAATCTTCTGGGTTCAATTCAGGTATGAGGGAAGAAAGTGCAATGGATAATCCACGGGCTCAACAGGTCTAGCAACAACAACAGCGCTGCGACACACGTCCACCTGCCTGGTCACCAGGGAGGGTGATGTTGGAAGCTAGCGCAGGAAATGGAACTCGGCAGCTCGGCAAGTCCTCATGGCAAAGAGGTGTCCCCAGCACCTCCCTGCAGAACGCACAGACTCCTGTACCCAGGCGGAGCGTTGCTTAAGACTTCTGTGCTTGTATGATGTACCCTTACAGCATTTAGATTCCTTGGAAATAGCCGTCTAAAGAGGACCCAAGCACGTATATTGAAAAGTGCTAACTAACCTTAACATTCTTCTAAATCAAGTCATGAGATACTTTCCTCTGTTGTCTGATGGTGCCGGGCTGGAATCTTTCAATTCGCAAACGGGCTCCACAATTACCGAGTACGAGGTGAGGGGATGAGCACTATAAAGCAGACTTTGTTCGTTCGTTTGTTTTTCTATAGTTTCGGACTGAGCTTTCTTGATAAACTGAATCAGCAAGGATGCTGGCGTACATGTTCCAGGAACCAATAGGCTGTTTTCTCCTTCTCTAAGTGACCATGATTCATCATGTCTCCAATATAAAAAATCGTCGAAATAACATCTGCCAAACAGCACTTAATAATAGATATCCGCACATTTGCAAGAGAAAGTGTTTTTTTTTTTTTTTCAGGACTGAATTTGGGGTAAAAGGACTGAATGCCAACTACATTTCAATTACATTGATGTGCAAAAACACTGCCAATTCATCAGTGTCATTTATAGCTCAGCAAAGCTCCTGCTTCCTGGGAGCTCCTGGGGGTCAATCCTCTCTTCTCCACCCTGTGTGGATCTCTCACAGCTACCCAAGCCCCGCTTCCCCCTCCCCCGGTCCTCTCCATGGAGAGGATGGTTCACGATGTATGGAGGACGGCCTGGGGACTGCAAGGTGAGGGGCACTTTCCGAGAGTCCAGACACACAGATCCCCAGTGTCCGGGAACTTCACCAATTGCAGATTGAAAACAGCTGGAGAAGGCCCGGCGGCGCGGCCTAGCAGCTAAAGTCCTCGCCTTGAACGCATCCGGGATCCCATATGGGCGCAGGTTCTAATCCTGGCAGCTCCACTTCCCATCCGGCTCCCTGCTTGTGGCCTGGGAAAGCAGCCGAGGACGGCCCAAAGCCTTGGGACCCTGCACACACGCGTGGGAGACGTGGAAAGAAGTTCCTGGTTCCCAGTTTCGGATTGGCATAGCATCAGCCGTTGCGCTCACTTGGGGAGTGAATCATCGGATGCAAGATCTTCCTGTCTGTCTCTCCTCCTCTCTGTATATCTGACTTTGTAATTAAAAAAAAAAAAAAAAAAATCTTAAAAAAAAAAAAAAGAAAAGAAAACAGCTGGAGAGCAAACTTGCATTATTTTGTCACTATTCCTGAGACAGCATGGTCCAGCA